TCACAATTGCAAAGCATGCACTACAGCATTCCTGACTAGTTCTGACTTTTTTTATAGTTTTATTACAGGAAAAAAGTTCTCCATCAATTCCCATATTAGCTGCCGCACGGATTTTGTGATATATCTATTAATAAGATATGTGGGATTATTAATCACAACAAATAACTCATGTTGTTTTTTGTGAAAATATTCACAATTACAGAACGAATTAGGAACAACCCCACTACACCACCAATGACGGAGGAGAGGAGTCCTATATATTCTGAACTAAGGGAGGGTGGGAATCAAGCGGGTTATTTTAACTTCATGTTTGTATTGCACAATTGTTTTAGAATTGCAAAGGTCCCTGAGTAAGTTCTATGTCTAGAACTAAACGCGTGAGGCCGCTACTTTTTTACAAATAAATCGTTTATATATTTGATTCCTGCTTCCTTCTGGTTCTTGTGTTCCCAAGGAGTGAGGTGAATTTCTACTAACCCCCTAGGGGAATAGGCGTGGCATCTTTAAGGCGCTTTGACTTTATCCATTCTGTGAGTGCTTCCAGTAGCGTGTTTTAATACATGCTTAATACTTTATCACGCTATGTGTTAATTGTTCTTTAGGTTACAACAGCTGTATCACTTTTTTTTTTCTGCATACAAACTTTCACATGAGTCTGTTCATAGTTAAACGGAAACTATAGTGCCAGGAAAACAAAGCTGACGTCAGCCGGATGGGGAGACCTAATGCGCATGCTTAATCCAGTGTGGTGTTACAACTTGGGGAACTGGAATATCCATTTAATTACCGTAATTATTATACCTCAAGTCTTAAACTCTCTATTTTTTTTTAACCGAGGAGGTATACGGCATTCAAAATCTTTAGTCAGTCCTTCTATTAGTCCAACAGAGGCAACTCCAATCCAACTCCATCATGGTAGTAATTTTGGTGGGCTATTGGCAGTAGTTTTGATTTAACATATGTTTTTCTTTGCAGTACTGTGGAAGCTGCTGAAAAGAAGTCGGACAAGTAGAAGAACTGTACTCCTCCTCGGTGTGTGTGATTCAGGAAAAACACTCATCTTGAGCAGGGTATGATGTATACAGATAATCTGTGATCTTTCAGGCTGATAACTTACCGATTCCGATATTCTGTACATTTGCCATTTTGAAAAAAGAAACAATTTCTACACAAATCTTCTGTTAACTGAACATATTTATAATTACTTATTTTTGATAAAGTGGTAAATGCACAAAATATACATGCCATTTAGATTTATTTATTTTCAAGAATATTTAGTGTACTCCTCCCTTCCCTGTGCCTTAGTGTTCCTCTCTCCTCCCTGTCATTTAGTGCGCCTCTTCCTTCCCCCCGCCTGTACCTTATTGTTCCTCTCCCCTCCCTGTCCCTTGGTGTTCCTCTCCCCTCCCTCCTGTAGTGTTCCCCCCCCCACCCCCCTTTAGTGTTTCTCTCCCCTTCCTGTCTTTTACCCACCCCCTTCGTGCTCTTTCTCTCCCAGATGTGCCACCTAGCTTTCTAGTAGCGTGGCCAGGCGGCGTGAACCACGGTAGGACCCGCCTTATGGACGCACCGGACAAAATCCATAACATCAGCCAATAATATAAACCGCAAATACTGGCAGTTTAAAGACTATAGACAATAGTGTTGCATAGAATTAGACTGCACATTTTTTTTTTTATTTATTTTTTTTTTATATAACAAACATGCTTAGTATAGAAAACAAGATATTGGTCATTTGTCTTAGCTGCAGGCAGATTAGGTTAAATAGGATGTGGAGACACCAGGAAGATGATCAATGCTACATATAACATGTGTGAAACACTGGAATCTAGAGAACTAGCTAAACATGCATGGGCTGTAGACAAAATGGTTACTACTGGAGGCATAGGAGTTCCTATCTTGAGCAGAAGGACCGCAAGTAGTGAGGAGTCCACGGTAGGCAGACTCCTACAGCCTACAAGACACATCGAACTCCTTGAAAGTGGCTGCAGAGTTGGTGTTTAGGGCAGTGTCCCCAGAGAGTCCCCGCTTGCATGAATCTCTGGTTGTACGATTTGGACCATGCGTTGGGATAGTCCTCCATGCCTGCTCCCAACTCGGGAGGAGAGCGACCCACCTCCGCAAGCCACACCTCAGGTAAGTAGAGCTGATGCGTTTTCACCGTTAGACCGAGCCAGAATCGGACAAACATGGCATCAAAAACTGCCTTCCTTTGCTGCTGCTTTTCCTCCATCGAGAGCTTGGTTACAAGAACGTTGGACATCTTGTTTTGTTAGAAGCTTTGGATATTTCCATCTGGTGTTGGGTCCAGTGTTTGCCTGCCATTTTAGTGTGAACTGGGATAACCACTACCGGTCCAGAGGCTGGGGGGGACAGGCTCCAACAGGACTCATCGATAGATTCAGCAGCTGCAGAGCGGGAGATCGGCAGCATCCACCACCTCCAGGGTCCACTAGGCCTCAAAGGCTGCATCTCAAGCTCCATGTCGTAGAGATCTATGAAAGCTCAATTCTGGAGTAAGGGATTCCTCCACAATGCAGAGACAAGCAAGTACTTGCTTAACTGCAGTATCAAGGCTTAAAACCACAATTTAATCTGTAAATTCAAGATTTGGTGAGGAGCCTAACTCAGACACATCTGCTCAGCCTTGTTTGCTATTTTCCATTTTAGCTTTCCTTCCACGTTGTTTCCAGTGTGTGGGTCCATGCAATAAGTAGTTTAGCTAATGATTGGTTTGAAAAAACGTTTTTTTTTTGTTTTTTTTTCTTTATTCCAGCTGTTAACAGGAAAGTACAAGATGACACAGATGTCTATCAGTGCACTTTCCGCTACTTACAGAGTAAAAAGTGACAAGGTAAGGCCTATTGTCTCAATCAACTACCTAAACAATTATCGCCACTATTAAGACAGTGAACTTTTGTATTTAAAGGAACCCTTTAGCATTAGGAATACAAACATGTGTTATATTAAATATTAACTATTTGTAGTATCATGCCTACCTGTTTCTATTAGAAAAAGAGTTTTACTCGCCTTTATTCTTCTGTTAACCGGTCTTGCTGCGATCACCTCCATTGGCTGAGATCATTAATCCTGATCTCAGCCAATCTAGTGCTTCCCCATAGAGAATAATTGGCAGGCTAGTGTGCATGCTCAGCAATCACTGTTCAGCATCTCCTCAATGTCAATGTTGTTGAATGCTCACGGTGAGTGTTTAGCCGAACTTCGATTCAGGAAGTCCCTTTAGTGGCTGGACAAGTGAAAAGGCCGCATTAATATGGCAAGGCTCTTTGCCCCAGAACCATTGCATTAAACTGTAATGGTTCTGGTGATTAGAGTGTCCGTTTACTAACTTAACATAAATAGTTTTGATTTCATTTAAAATCTTATGTTCTGGATTCAGATTCCCAATGAATTAATGAAATCTACAAGGTTCATGTTGCAGATTAAAGTGAAATAAAAATATGACCAGACACCCACTTCAACTGCATTATGTTGATAATTAATTAAAAAACGTTATGCAAAAATAATAAGCTCCGGCAAATTCATATATTTTCCTTGAGTGTCTGCTGATCTTTCTTTGTATTGTAGAATTATCCACATTTTTCTTCTACAGTCTTTAAATGCAGATAATTTGCTTTTGTAAATATTGTTGGTAAGAAATTTCACCAATTATATTTCACATAAGCAAAAGTGCAGCAATTACATTGGTGTGTAACCTATTACCCATTTGGAAAGGGAAGGGGGGGGGGAGAGAGTGAGATCATCTTCAGTAACCCTACAGGCTCTGGCTGCATTGTGGTCGAATAGCTCTGGTATCTTGTAGCTAGTTAGAGGACTACAAAATTTTCCATCCCAACTATTCACAATGAGTGGAGGTAGGGATTACATTTACTGGTGTGAAGCCACTGGGTGAAGAAAAAAACCTTAATCTTCTTGGTCCTGGTTACTTAGACTTGGTTTGGCTCACAACTGTATAAAGCAGTCCTTCAATTAGCACTGATAGGCACAGATTTCAGATGTGATGTTACAGTTCTACTTGTCTAAGTATTTATTGATATCTTAATACACCATACAACATCTCAGATGTATAAACCAGGTGCTGGTTAATAGTGTCACATGTTCAATTTCAAACCATAAACAACCTATTTACGTGAAATATAATTGCTGTGTTAATTTATGAAGATCTGTACAAGTTTTTATTTTTTGCTATTTATGTATCTGGTTCTGTAAGTATTATGATGCTGTTTAGTGTCACATTTTTTTTAATAATTTGGTAGGCATTGGCATACTCTCATTTTAAGTGATTTCACTGATCATAGTCTTTGTCCTTTTTTCTATTTCACCCACAGGGGCCCAGTTTGACTTTGGTTGATATTCCTGGATATGAAAGTCTGAGACTTCACTTCTTGGAACAATATAAAGCAGCTGCCAGGTAGACAAACCAATTATAACTACCTCAGAGCGCTTCTTAGTTCAGTCTGTCGTAGAGAGCCGGAGATACATATGCCCTTGGTAGGAGCTAGGAACTAATTGTGCTTGTCATGTAGTTATCACTTGACATTCCGTAAAAGAAATTGGCATTTTATGATAAAACATTTAAAGGAACATTCCATGCACCATATTGCAGTGTGCTGTTGTGGTTATGGTGCCATTAGTGTCCTAGATCATCCCCGCTATAAATAGTGCAATTGTTATTATATAGACCTATACACCACAGGGCATACTTAAAAACTAGCATAATGTTAACACTTTTCCTGGTTATATTACACATTTATATATGTTTTATTTAATTGGCAAAATGATGGTATTTCCATTTTATTTAGGCATCATTGCATCTTAATATCACTACGGCATGTTATAAATTATAGATAAACCTATATTTAGAATATATATTTGCTTATAAGAGATTCTCATATAAAGTATTGATTAAGATTTAATTTTCCTTATAATTTATCCTTACCTGCATGCTACAGGGGCCTGCTGTTTGTGGTGGACAGCTCTGCATTCCAGCGGGAGGTGAAAGAGGTTGCAGAACTCCTATATCAGCTTCTAACCGACGGCGCTGTGCTCGAAAATACTCTACCAGTACTTATCGCATGTAATAAGCAAGGTGTGTTCCCTTTGAGATCAGTGGTGAGACAGTCATAAGTCTAAGATTCATTTTAAAGTTTGCCTGTCATCCACAGTATGTGTTCAACTTCAGGTTGGTATCAGTCCAGGCTATATGTTTTGCTGGTAACAATCACAAGTAGATGCACTTCACATGGTCTCCAATACTGGATGTAAAGGTTAAGCATGCTTAAATGATTGGAGTCAAATCTCATAAGTATTGTGGTAATGGGACTGTCATTTTGGGGAGCTGCTGCTCTTGGATTCCATAGATATAGTCTCTGTTGACGTGCTGGTGGCTCAGTAGTTAAGCCCAGGATGGTCAAATTAACATACAGTACTAACTTTCCATTTATAAATTTGCTAACAAGTTGGCTAGGATAATATATAGATGATATTTTATCCAAACAGGTTTTTTTCACTAAACAAACAGTTGTACAGTAGTGATGTCCCGAACGGTTCGCCGCGGACAGCGAACATATGCGGTAAACTTTGACCCTGTACCTCACAGTCAGCAGACACATTCCAGCCAATCAGCAGCAGACCCTCCCTCCCTCCCAGACCCTCCCACCTCCTGGACAGCACCCATTTTACATTCATTGTGAAGCTGCATTCTTAGTGAGCTGTCCAGGAGGTGGGAGGGTCTGCTGCTGATTGGCTGGAATGTGTCTGCTGACTGTGAGGTACAGGGTCAAAGTTTACCGCATATGTTCGCCGTCCGCGGCGAACCGTTCGGGACATCACTATTGTACAGTAGAGAGATGTTGGAATTTTAGGTTAAAAGATTTATAAGAATAGCAGAGTTTGAGCATGTTTTCACTTTGACCCTTTTGGCTTCAATTTGCAATTATGTCTGTTCTCCATTGAAGATTTATTATGGATGAAGTGCCTCTGATTCCTCATTATTTAATGCCTCCACAAGGTGCAAAGAGCTGCTTTACTCCTTTAATCTTGTTAATACATGTGTGATGTGTACAAAGGGAGGCTCTGTGGCTCAGTTCCAAAAAATATTACTGATGTCGGTGGCTATCACTGAGTGATAGCTTGTGGCAAAACTAGCCACTTAAGACTGTATGTTCATTAATGTGATGCTGTGGCTTTAAGGCTATCCGAGCTGAGTGTATTCCCCTGTCTGTATTTGATACGAACGAGAGCATTCGTATGCTGGCGGAATGAAAGCCACCAGCATTCATACAGTAGTTTCACGAACACTGAATTTCAACACTGTTCGTGAAACGAACAAACTACCGAATGGGAGACCACACACAGTAGGTCGTGTGGCTCCCATTAAGTAATGCAACATTGTATCTTTCTGTAGTTAAGATGTTCAAGGTGGCCACCGTTCAGCTACCGACCACGCGGCGGTCGGCCATCTTGGATCCTTTGTTAGGCCAGCGGTATTTTGCCGTTGAGCGCTTGGAACTAAAATCGGCTACTCGACGGCACGAATACCGCTGGACTTCCAGGCCGTTCGGGAACATCTGTATTTTAGCCCTGTTGGTCTATTCTTGCCTTTCTTAAAAAATTTATGTCTAAGTGTATTTCATGCTGCGTTCAGCTAATTGTGCTGGTACTTTCACGAAGTATGCGCTCAGTCTCCAGCTATCTGCCAAACGGTCATTCGGTATAATAGTATGAATAATGTTAGTTATATATTTTTATGTAAAAAGCCAGTTCTGCTGCACGGAGGGATAATCCACTTAACTGGATATTTTACTGGGAGTATCCCTCTCGTTGATTCAAATCTTTCTAATACTTGTATAAACCTTACAAGTTGTGTATTTTATTTATACAGACATCTCCATGGCCAAATCTGCCAAATTAATACAGCAGCAGTTGGAGAAGGAGCTGTAAGTATTACTTGACATCCATTATCCTATCATTCTAGTTCATGTCTGATCTGGGTACAAGTGTGTTGTAAATGCCTGTATTTTACGTTAGACATCTGGCTCCTCGATTGCCACCTGTGCTGCACACTTTGCACAATACAAGCTCCTTTGTCTTGAACACATCAGTATTTCTTTGAAATTCCCTTCATGTTTCATTGCTTTGTCCTCAATTATAGTATAATGGTCATTATGTTTCATTAGTAGACTCTGATTGTGTATGGACCGCCAATTTCATTGCTGTGTTTCTTTCCACTAACAGCAACACACTGCGTGTAACCCGTTCAGCTGCTCCTAGCACTCTGGACAGCAGCAGCTCCTCGACTATTCACCAACTTGGCAAGAAGGGCAAAGACTTTGACTTCTCCCAGTTGCCTATGAAGGTTGAATTTGTGGAATGCAGTGCATGGGACAGTAAGAAGGAGGAGAGCGATGCCAACCTCAGCAGTATTGAAGACTGGCTGGCCAGGCTTGCATAACTGGTGTTCTCGACTGTGGCACTTGGTTAGAAGGGGATTTTGTCACTGATGGGCACCTTCCTATTGATAATAAAGCAGCCAGACAATTAAGCCTGGCATTTCTCTGAGACCCATCAGTAGGGACAGCTGGATATGTTTGCAGCTGATTCATGGCACTCCAAATAAATGGAATAGACTTTGACTTGCGTTTTCCATCATATAAGCTTCTGACATACAGGACAGTGTTACATTGCAGCGTCTGAAGAGCCTTTATGCTGCCAAAAGGGTTTTCAATGTTCCCATTGTGTTTCTATATTGGATTATCCCAATGTATTTCTATGTGCAAAATAAAGTTAAGATTTAAGATTGTCTCTTGAAATACATTTTTTAATACAGTAATAATAGCAATTAATACATAATACAGTATTATGAGTATATAATGTCATGGTTTCAATGAAATGGCTGTATTAAATGATCATTGGAAAAATATATTGTAACTTGGGGTGGGGGGAGTTGTTCAACCGCTTGCAAAAATGTAAGAACATATTTCTAATCTGTTTCAAAACACTGAAATCCATCATGTTCAACCTCTCATACATCGTCTTATCGTCTGATACACAAGAAGGCAAAAATAAACGATTTGAAGTGATTGCCAGTTGTGCCACGAAAAGGGGGAAATTCCTGACTCTATAATGCCAATCACATTTCTTCTTGGATTAACAAGCAATGTCCACACATTAATTGCTTCAACAAGCTGTTCCCACACATATTAACCCATTAAGGTTGGAGTCAATTGTACACGTTCTGATCAAAACAAACAAAACCTGGAATTTGCTCTATACATATGTATTTGTAATTCTACATGTATACTTGTGTAGTCATTTATGTAATAATATATATTTGCAATTATTTGTATGTGTGTCTTAGGGATCGACCGATTATGTGCCAATAATACATAGCAGGACCGCCAGGACCATGATGACAAGCAAAATTATATACCTACAGAAACACACTCTGCATTATAAACACACTGGATTCACTATACACATACTACACAAACACACACTCTGCATTCATTATATATACACACTACACAAACACTGCATTCACTATACAAATACACACTGCATTCACTAAATACACATAGTACACAAACACTCACTGCATTCATACTATACACACTGCATCCACTACATGTGGCATGTATATTTTGTGCATTGACTTTTAGAAATAGTTAACTTTTTTCTAAATGGTAAATGTACAGCATATCGGTCGGTTATCGGCCTGAAAGTTCAGAGTATCGGCTCTAAAAAAAATAAATATCGGTCGATCCCGTGTGTGTGTATATATACATACATACATATACATGCCATGGGAGAACTGCCCGGGCTGTCAGGCAGTCCTCCTGAAGCAGAGCGCCGAGAAGGTAAGTATCCCGGGCATTCTACGACGGTTTTGAAGTCTAATGTGGAGTGGCATAAAACGCCATAATGACATTAAATTATGGGATTACATTTTTATTTATTTTTTTAAAGTGAGGGAGATACAGTGCTAACTCTAAAGGCAGCAAGTCTGTATTATGGATACCCTAACAATCCAAAATGAGGATTGAAAAAAGGAACAAGCTCCGGCAAGTATGAATGTTGTCTAAACAAGTGTATGAACAAAATATTTTATTGTAAAATAGCTTAAATTAGAATATGGTCTAAAGGTCCAGAAGAGAAAGTCTTTAGGGAACGAATATAAAACCTTCTGGGTTGTTCTCCTTGCTGAATAAATTATCAGGTCTTTTAATAGAGATGACGTGTTTTCTTAAAGTTGTCCCAAATCAGATAGAAGCACAAAGACCCAATATATACAGGGTCCTAGATAATGGAATGATAAAGATACACTCACAAGGAGAGAGCCTCCAATCAGCTCTTATATAAGGCTTTGAGCAGAATGAAACTGGAGCCATCCCTTTGGATATTCATGATACAGTTGGCATATGAAATAAATGGATTAAAATATAGTGCACTCTGCTTTGAATAGTGGTACTAGAAAACAATTTGCAGTGAAATCTACTTACATTTTTGGGAGCATCATATGCTTTTCTGAAATCAGCATGGATGGTATGATCCCAACTAAGGATATAAGTAGGTAGGGTTGCCACCTGGACGGTATTTAAGGCCATCTGGTCGGTGCAGGTATTGCAGTAATACTAGCAATACAAATGCTGATATTTTTCTCAGTATAAACTGAGATTAGACTGAAATACCGGTAGGTGGCGCTGTGTGTGTGTTTGGAGAGAGACAGGGATAGGTATTTACAGCATCTCCACCTCCCCCCCCCCTCTTTCTACTCACTGAACTGCAGGGGAGCAGCACAGAAAGTCAAGCAGACAGCTCAGGTAAGTGAGGGATGAGACACAAAGACATGGGGGTATCCCTGAAAGACATAGGGGCTCCTGGGAGACACAGTGGCATGAGGATACTGGGGGAACTCTGAGACATAGGGAAACTAGGGGAGGCATTGTGACACTGGGGGACATGGGGATACTAGTGGACATTGGAGCACTGAGGCACTATGGGAGACAGGACCAGACTGGCCATCAGGCAAATGCCCCGTGGGATGCGATGGCCATGGGCCGAGGCTGATGGCCATGGGCCGAGGCTGACAGTGGAGATCAAAGGATCTCCCCGACTGGCCCCTTTAGGGCTGGTGCTGCCTAACCTCTGTGCCTTGGGGAGATCTCTTACCAGCCTGCAACTAGCAGAGCACAAGCCCTGTGCACATGATCTACACCTGTCAAGGGGTGTAGACTAGATGCTTCTTCCACTGGACCACCAGGGAAAATAATTCCTCCTCAGCATCCTTTACTGCCAAGGATCAAGGTAAGGAAGAGGGATTGGGAAGTATGTAAGTTTTTTTTGTTTTTGTTTTTTTGCCCCATGTCCCCTTCCTCACACAGCAGTCCCTGCCCCTCCCTCTTTTACACCCTGCAGTCCCTGCTCCCCTCTCACCCAGAAGCCCCACGTGTCCCCTCTCAAACCCTGCTGCCTCTGTCTTCCCCTCTCACCCTGCAGCCCCTGTCCCCTTCTCGCCCTGCAGCCCATGTCCCCCTCTCACCCTGCAGCCTCTGGCCCCCTATTACTCTGCAGCCCCTGCCCCTCTATTACCCTGCAGCCCCTGCCCCCCCTCACCCTGCAGCCCCTGTCCCCCTCTCACTCTGCAGCCCCTGTCCTCCTTTCACCCTGCAGCCTGCCCCCACTTAACTTGCACCATGTCCCCTCTCATACGCTGCAGCCCGTTCTCCCCTCTTACCCAGCACTAACTGTCTTCCCCTCTCACCCAGCATCCCCTGTCTATCCATCTCATACCCTGCATCCCCTGTCTCCGACTCCCACCCAGCATTCTCTATTTCCCCCTCTAACCCAGGAGCTTCTGTCCCGCCACCCAGCACTCCCACCAGGGCCCCCCTCTTTACCTCTTCATCTCTCACACAACAGCCACTGCAGCCCCTGCCCCCCTCTCATCTTGCTGCCCCATGTCTCCCTCTCTACACTGCAGCCCCTGTCTCCCCCTCTCACACCCTGCCCTTCCTCTCACCCAGCAGCACCTCTCATACCCTGAAGCCCGTTCCCCCCCACCTGCAGCCACTGTCCCCATCTCTCACCCTGCAGCCCCATGTCCTCTTCCGACACCCTGCAGCCCCATGACACCATCTCTCACCCTGAAGCCCCATGTCCCTTCTCAACACCCTGCAGCCCCATGTCCTCCACACCATGTAGCCCCATTTCCCTCTACCACACTCTAGATCTCTTATTCCGCCTTCACACAACATCCCCTATTGTTTCCCCCTCACACACACACAAATCACCTATCATGATATATGAGGGAAAACTACATTTCCCAAGATTCATTGGGCATCACGATCACATGGTCAGGATTGAACCCCTTTCTTCAAGTCTCAATGGATGATATTCCTTTTGTTACTTATCAGCTGTGTACCAGAAAGCTGTGTGTACTGGCTCTGAATATAGTGCCATTATATTGCTCTCACAAGACCTTTTTTAAGGGATACCATATAGGCATCAAAACAACTTTTAGGTTAATGAAGCAGTTAGTGTGTAGGTCATGCCCCTGCAGTTTTAATTGCTTATCTACCTGCCATTTAGGTGTTAAATCAATACTATACTGTCAGGAATATTCCTATTAAAATTCACCTTTATTTCAGCGCCGCTCAGGACTCCTGTGGCTGGGTCTGCCCCTGTTCCACCTCCTTGACAGAGATCTACAAAACTGACAATCCAATGCTTTCCTGAGGTAAATGCACTGCACGACAAAACGCTTTACTGCGCCAGTCAGCATCTCCTGATAGATGTGCTGCTATGAGGAACATTTAGCAGCTCCATTCAGAACATGGAGACGGTAAGCGTCTGTGCTGCATATTGTGACAACCATTAAAGGTGTTCTTATTCAGTAATGTAATCATAGGCGTGCGCACGGGGTGTGCCGGGTGTGCCAGGGCACACCCTAATCCCCATGGCCCGCGCTATGTGCCTCCTTCCGTGGGCCGGTGAGGTAGATCAAAGATCTCCCTCACCTAACCACAGGCCCGCACTATGTGCCTCCCTACATGGGCCGGTGAGGGAGATCAAAGATCTCTCTCACCTAACCACAGACATGGAGGGAGGAGGGGAGGGACCCAGGGAGCTCTTGCCAGCAGCTCCACCGAGTTCCTCTCGCGAGGTCGGAGCATTGCCGCGGTCACCGCGGCAATGCCCAGATCTCGCGAGAGTGAACTCTAGCCCCCTTGGGGCCTTCACACACACAGAGCGCCCACACACACAGTGCGCCCGTACACACAGAGTGCACGCCCGTACACACAGAGAGCCCGCACACACACACAGCACCTGCACGCGCACACACACAGTGCCAGTGCACACACACAGCACCTATGCACACACACAGCACCCTCACACACACAGCAGTATGTGTGTGTATGTATGTGTGTATATATATATATATATATATATATATATATACGCGGCGTGTGTGTTTCTGCTTTAGGGTGCACACCCTTATACAATAGGCTGCGCACGCCTATGAATGTAATCACTGCCTTTTCTGTGAAAAGGCAATGTTTACATTAAAAAGTCTGCAGGGACATATTATACACACCAGAACAACTACATCAAGCTGTAGTTCTGGTAACATTAGTGTCCCTTTAAATCACTATTGTTCCTGTCCATGCAGTCCCAGCCACACCTTCCCTGGCGATGATTTACACAGGCTCCATTTAATAATGGTCTCTTTTTCAATTAGATGTTAAAGGACCACTATAGGCACCCAGACCACTTCAGCTTAATGAAGTGGTCTGGGTGCCAGGTCCAGCTAGGGTTAACCCTTTTTTTTTTTATAAACATAGCAGTTTCAGAGAAACTACTATGTTTATGTTAGGGTTAATCCAGCCTCTAGTGGCTGTCTCTTGATAGCCGCTAGAGGCGCTTGCGTGCTTCTCACTGTGAAAATCATAGTGAGAAGATGCCAGCGTCCATAGGAAAGCATTGAGAATGCTTTCCTATGGACTGGCTGAATGCACGCGCAGCTCCTGCCGCGCATGCGCATTCAGCCGAAGAGGAGGAGAAGAGGGAGGAAAGGAAGAGGAGATCTCCCCGCCCGGCGCTGGAAAAAGAGGTAAGTTTAACCCCTTCCTCAGGGCACTATAGTGCCAGGAAAACAAGTATGTTTTCCTGGCACTATAGTGGTCCTTTAAGTTGCCTTAGAATTTTTTATCTTCTGCTCTGTAACTTTAATCACACACAGGAAGCTTCTGCAGGGTTTAGAAGGCTTTTAACAGAGAAGGTAAGACTTTCTAAAACAGAATACAGACACTCCTCACTCACTGACCGGGTTCCATTCCTACGACCCTGTTGTAGAACAAATTGGTCGGTAAGTGAGGAGTTAAGGGATTCCCTGCTCTGATGCGTTCGTCCATAACATAGACGAACGCACCAGAGCAGGGAACCCTCTAATCTATGCTCTGGGAAATTTCCCCGAACATAAACATGCGCACCAGAGCAGGGAATCCCCATGAGGGCTCGTACTTACGCCTGGTTGTAAGTGCGAGCTATCGTAAAACAGGTAGGTCGCTAAATGAGGACCACCTGTATGTAATAAAGGAAGTTTAAATATCAGATCTCTCTTTACAGGAAGTGTAAAGGAAGGCTGTGTAATGTGTATGCAGGGAGGTGTGACTAGAGCGATTTAAGTTCTAAATGGAAGAATTGAGCAATGGGACTGCATGGACATGATCTAGAAACATAGAAACATAGAATGTAATGGCAGATAAGAACCATTCGGCCCATCTAGTCGGCCCATTTTTAAAAATACTTTCATTAGTCCCTGGCCCAGGGCCGGTGCAAGGATTTTTGCCGCCCTAGGCAAAAGAAAGATTGCCGCCCCTCCCACCCACCCACCAGTGACATCGCAATGCCCCACCCATATGATCTGCCATATGAACTAACGCCAGTGCTGCACACAGTGTGCGTTGACATTAAAAAACCTGCAGGGACAAACTATAGACACCAGAACCACGTTATTAAGCTGCAGTAGTTCTGTGGACTATAGTGTCCCTTTAATGTGAGATTAGTGTCACTAATAATATACTAGATTGCCTACTTATAATCAGATGAGGATGATGATGGGCTCTAGCTGCAGTCTGGCTCCACTGGTCTGGTGTAGAACAGGATCTCTGGAGGCTGTTTGTAACTGTGGTCACAAAAACAAGAAGCAGCTCCATTTTTTGGGGCCCCTTACACAGCTCAAGGTCTGTGCCCCAGGGCCTGACGGTGAGTATGCCCATAAGGCCCACCCATAAGTCCACCTACATGTTCCACCCATGAGTTCGCTCACAGGGAGTGGAGTGTGTAGGGGATGTGTTATGTGTTACTGTAGAGGATCTAATGTGTGTGCTTATGGAATGTAGTGTAGGGATACCAGTTTGTATAGGTGATGCAGTGTGTTTGTGTGTAGTGGAAGCAGTGTGTTTTTGTGTAAGGGATAGAAAGCTGTGTGTGTTTGTGTATAAGGGATGTATTGTGTGTTTCTTGTTGTGTGTAAGGGATGCATTGTGTGAATCTGTGTTTGTATGCATAAGGGATGCAAAATGTGTTTCTGTGTATGTAAGGGATTCAGTGTGTGTGTCTGTAAGGGGTGCGTTGAGTGTGTGTAAGAAATGCATTGTGTTTCTGTGTGTGTAAGAGAAGCAATGTGTGTGTAAGGTATGCATTGTGTGTTTCTGGGTATATGTGCAAAGGATGCATTGTCTTTATGTGTAAGGGTTGCATTGTGTGTGTGTGTGTGTGTGTGTGTGTGTGTGTAATGGATGCATTGTGTGTTTCTCTGTATGTAACGGAAGCATGTTGTGTTTCTGTGTGTATAGGGATGCATTGTGTGTGTGTGTGTGTGTGTGTGCGTAGTGTGAAAGAGCTCCCTGTCCTACCCCCTGTCCTATAGAGCTCTCCCTTCCATCCCTTAGAGATCTCCCCTGCCCCTTAGTGATCTCTCCTCTGCCCCCCCCACCTCCCTTAGTGGTCTTCTTTTCTCCCCGACTTTCCATTAGTGGTCTCTCGTCTCCCCCTTAGTGGTCTCTGCTCTCCTCTGACCCCCTTTCCATTAGTGGTCTCTCCTCTCCCCCCACCCTCCCCTAGCGGTCTCTCCTCACGCCCCTCCCCTAGTGGTCTCTACAACCCTCTGTTGACTGTCACTCAGCCACTGCCTTACCCATTCAACAATATTGGAATCCAAACTTAAAGATTGCAGTTTATTGATAAGCCTTCTATGTGCAACAGTGTCAAAAGCCTTACTGAAATCTAGGTAAGCAATGTCTACTGCACCACCCTGATCTATAATTTTAGTTACCCAATCAAAAAAATCAATAAGATTAGTTTGGCATGATCTCCCTGAAGTAAACCCATGTTGTCTCTGATCTTGAAATCCATGTGTTTTTAGATGTTCATCAATCCTATCCTTTAACATGGTTTCCATCACTTTCCCCACTACTGAAGTAAGGCTTACTGGCCTATAGCTGCCCGACTCCTCCCTATTACCTTTCTTGTAAATGGGCACAACATTCGCTAACTTCCAATCTTCTGGGACTACTCCTGTTAACAATGATTGGTTAAATAAATCTGTTAATGGTTTTGCTAGTACACCACTAAGCTCTTTTAATAGCTTTGGGTGTATTCCATCAGGTCCCATTGACTTATTTGGCACAGTTTACATTTCAACTCCAGTAGAAGTATGCAACTAGACACTTTGTATAAAAGATTGTCAATGGCTTGGTTTCAATTCACGGGCAGAGCCCTCTTTACCATTTGTATTGGCCTTTGTATGTTTTGTTGTTTTTCCCCAACTGTACAGCACTGTGGCATATGTTGGCATTTATAAATAAGTATACATTTTTATTATCTAAAGAATGTTTTCTACCTTCTATTTAGACTTTTCTTTTGAGGAAATTAATGAATCTTAAAATGAATAATGTGAATGGAAATAGCTTACCCTGGCATGTTAAGACAAGTGCATGTCATTTTAGAAATTTCGTCCACAGGTGTGTTTACATATTTTTATATAAAAGAAGATGTTGACAAGTGAGTTATCCAGAAAATCCTATCTTCCATCGATAATGAGCCTCAGTTTCAAAAATATATCATAGAAGGGAAAAGGGAGAATAATAATGCTATAAACATTATAGATTTTTATTGTGATTTTTATTAAAATAAAATAAAACAAAAACAAAAAAATACTGATTTTTAATAGGCACATGATGTTTAAGAAATTGGTTAGAAGTAAATTGCCATAAAACATTTTACTGCTTGCCAAATTAACCTTACAATCCATACTGTAATCTATAATTATCTTTAGTTATTATGTAAACTTAATGCTATATAATTAAATTATTAATGCAACCTATAAAGTATATCTTATTAAAGCAAGGTGTGGACAAACGATGGAGCTTCAATGCTGGACTACAGCTCCCATCACGTGTCAGATAAGTGATAGGATTTACCATTTATCAGCTGCAGAGCCAACGTTTGTGCATCCTTGCTTTAGAGCACCCTGTATGCTTTTACATACATCATCCCCAGTCTTTAATCATGCGTCCTGAAACACCACAGTGCCATACACAAAATGTCATGTCACTTAATAGTTTTTGGCAATTTTAATAAAGTACAATTATTATATATTACAACAAAACAGTGAGAAACAAAATATGTTAATAACCGCGTTCAAAGGCAGATTTTTCATTGACTTCTGAAGGGAAGGGAGAGAGGTCTGATGCGGTATGGTTGTGTTTTTATAGAAGAAATGAATGACATGTAGAGAGCATTTCTTATATAATGGATTTAAAATATGTATATCTACCTCATGTCTCAATTTAGAGAAGTTTATGAGCATATTATCTTAAATATTTTACAATCAATCGTGAATAGTTCTCTAGCGTCTAGACTGTGGATGACAAAGTAGTGAAGGTGTGATGTGCTTTATGTTTCAAAGATTATTTGTGTAATTCTAATGAGTAAGGTGAATGCAGAAATGACTGTGTATGTGAGCACGGGGAGGTATAAATAAAGGACATAAAGTGGCGTTGAAGTGCATTGATCAACAGAGGGAGAGAAAGGGTTCGGCAACAAGACTTGAGGCAAATCAAAAAGAACACAAACAAGGGAAGCGGTCATCATCAGGAGCAGTGGAGGGTCTTGACAATCTCTAGATGTGGTTTCTGAATGTTTGTTTTTCCAGGCTAACCAATAGGAAGCATCTTGGGCTGAGCACATGGCCTAGGGCAGATGATCCATCTTCCATTTCTGATTAGCAAGAACACCCGGCATCCGCCACTTGAGGTTCTTGGGGTTTGTCAAGTTTAATGTCAATCACTGAGACAAAAAGTTAAGGATTTTTTTTTTTTTTTTTTTTACAAAACTGCAAAATTTCACTAGGAATGCCCTGTATTAGCATTAGAACATGACAACATTGTGCAAGATTAATATTTTATCATCGAAGAGGGTCTCGAATACCATATATGTCAAGATAAAACATAATTTATGTTCAAAAAGTGCAGCAGGTTGAGGAAATCAATGTGATTATTTACCTTGAATTCTGCACTACAGGCAGAACACACGTGGGTAATTGCCTTCCTATTAAATTTAAGATGGTTAGAATATTAAGTCCCTCCTCTCTGCAGGTATAAAACATGGTCTACTACATCCGTACCCAAGTAATATACAAGACAAAACACATCAAGACAAAGTGTACGGTTAGTTAAATAGCGAGGGAAGTTGTATTGCTAGGAAAATTTACTGTAATAAAAATGTATGTTGTATATGGACATAAAAGTGGCATTAGAGCTCATATATTACTCTTAGAATTCTATACCACAATCTTTTTATTATATTTATTTCATTCATCTTATACCATGCTTTTTGTTCTTACTTAACTTCTTCTTGAGTCTTGCATACAGGTCTATCTACTCCTGCCTACTATCTCGCTTGCTCAGATGTAGACAAGTCCGATTAACTTGTTTTTTTTACTACAAAAAAAAAAATGTGATGTCTTTCTTGTCCAGAGTACTATTTGACATATTGCACTGTATACCCTCCTTGCTTGCTTGAATTGCAAACAAAGCTGATTAAATTGTGCAATAACAGCTAAATAGTGGCTCGGAATTATTTTCATATCCAGGCTACAGAAAGTTACTTTTTTTAGTGAAGGTGAATTTTTGCAAAAAGTATGTAGTAATCTTTCTTGATTAATCATAGACTGCTTTTAAACTTTTGGGCAAAAAGGTGTTTCATTTGTAGTACCACCATTATTTCCATGGAAAATTGTGTAAGGTGAAGAGACCGATGAGACCTGCAGTTCTCTAATTGTTTTGTTAATGGTGCTAGAAAATGTGCTTTCAGAGACAAAATCTGCAGAGAACAATTAGAAGTTTTGAAGAGATGCTCACACATATCATCGATGACCAGATTCATATCCCATGCAGGAACTTGATTCCTTCTCATAGGACAAACCTGCATATATAGCATTAAAAACATATGTGTATTAGGGTGTTAGCCGAGAAATCTGCTAAATAAAAGTGACAATGGTCCAAGAATTGGCTCTTCAGATTTGATGGACTAAATCCTAACTGTAAAGATTTTATAATGTGTGCAGTGAATGGAGACGATGGACCCAATTATTTTACCAAGAACCATGAATAAAATGTGTTCCACATCTTGGGGTAAATTCTTAATAACAAACTTCCTTGTTGGTCATAGCAAGATATTACTCACTTCTGACAGTCTAAAATAATCTTGGCAATCCCTCTTAAAAACTTTGTAACTTTCTATTCCTCTTGCCATAAGATTGATAATTCAGATATCCAAATTTCTCTACCAATTTCTTGAAAGTTATGAGGCTCTCACTCATACTGCCATCGTGTCCTGATTAAACATCCGCTAGCATACTGTCTATGCCAGTGATGGCTAACCTTGACACCATTAATTGTTTCTGGACTACATTTACCATGATGCTCAGCTACATCATAGGAGATGTAGTCCAGAAACAATTTATGATGTCAAGATTAGCCATCACTGGTCTATGCCTTCTATATATACAAATGATTTTCAGCCCAGTTCATGATCTTTGAGGTTTAGAATGGATTGTTGTGACTCTATCTAAATAAGCCACCACTGTGCATTTGTCTGATTATATCTAGATAGAGTGCTCCCAAATCTGTTCTTGAAAAACCACTAGAGCTTTGAAAGTTGCCTTTGGTTCTCTATAATTTGACAAGAGATATTTTCGTCATGACCATGAACCTTGCTTTTGAAGAGACTACATCTGAGCTATCCATTCTGTGCCTGAAGTGTTATGGTTGTTCATCTTGAAGGGTAAAAAGAAATACCTTCCTTTAGAAACTTTGATGTGATCCACCAAAATACCTTACGCATCATTTTGGTTAAAAAAACACCTAATTGTTATGTCTAAGTGATCTTCTATTCATTGCCAAGCTTTGAGAATTTCTAGGTGATCTGTTCTGTTCTGAGCTTTGAGAATTTTTACTTGAATGGGTGTCATTCTTGACTTGGCCCACCTGACTGCTGGTATGGAAGCTATAAGAATCCTTAGGATGGTCATGGCTTGCCTAATTAATTAAGTGGGGGTTCCTTCAATGCTGAAAAAGAAAAAAATTAATATTTTCTTTAAAGGGAAATAACAAATCTTTAATTCTGTTGAATCCACCTCAATGCCAAGAAACAATCCTTTTTAAGAACGCAAGATGTGACTTGTCCAAGTTTATTACCGAAACATGGTGCTGAAGAAATTCAGGGCTTAATCAGCTTCTTTTTGGAAGCTATCTGAGAGAGAAGAGAGAAGCAATGATTCTCTTTATCGTGGTCAATGTATGGCACTTCTGGAGAAATTAAAGAAAAACAGGGTTATGCACTAAAGTGAGGATTCAAAGTGAAAACAAAGTGAATTTCAACTTCAAAATTAAAATAGCCAAACTGGAAATATTCTCTGCTAATTATGCTTCCAATTGGGCTACATTGTTCTTAAATTTGAAATTAAAGGGACACTATAGTAACCAGCACAACTACAGCTTATTGTTTTTGTTCTGGTGAGTACAAGCATTCCCTTCAGGCTCTTTGCAGTAAACACTGTGTTTTCAGAGAAAATGCAGTGTTTACATTACAGCCAAGCCTAGTGTTAAGTCCAGTGGCCACTCCTCAGATGGCTACTGGGGCAATGCTGCACACTGTTTAGCACTGCCATTCAGTGTCTCCACCCTCTGCATAGAGAAACTGAACGTTTCTTATAGAGATGCATTGATTCAATGCATATCTATGAGGAGTTGTTGATTGTTCAGGGCTAGGTTTGACTTGTGCTGGCTCTGCCCCTGATCTGCCTGATTGACAGTCTTAGCCAATCCTATGGGAAAGCATTTTGATTGGCTCAGAACACTACTTCTGATGATGTCAAGCAAGCAGAAAGATCAGGGGAAGAGGCAGCAGCTGCAGACTTAATAAAAGTATGATTTTACTATATTTAGGGGGGTTACATGGTGGTTTTAACACTCTTGGGTCAGGAATACATGTTTGAGTTTATGACACTATAGTGTTCCTTTAACATTGAATTTACTTTGAATTCTCACTTTAGCGAACAACCCTGATATAACCCTGTACACAAATAGCTCCTGCAAACTGAATCCCTGTCAGAGATCAATGGCCCCATTCTGCTTCTGTATAAACAGAAACCTTTACATCAATATCAAACAAAATAGCACATTTTAATTCACTCCTTATATCCGACCTCCCAAAGAGCACCTACCTGCAGTATTGGATGACAGACCAGTGTGTAATGCAGAGTGTGTCACACTAAGAGCAGACAGGGTGCACGAACTGGGTTGCACCCTCGTTACCCTTTTAAAGAAAAGCAGGTTACAATGGCAGTACGTTAAGATATTAGCTGTTCCACAGAAAGATGTAGCCAGTGAATGCTAAATGCAGGGATTGGCAGGCACAAAATCCTCATTATTTTATCTAGATAGGTGATTTTATACATGTCATAAGTATTAAAGCTATTTTAGTTTTGTATATTGTATCAACTAGTCCCAACAGCACCCTTGTGACATGTCCAGGTTCAGGAGAGTGTGGCCTTTTTAATATATCTATCTAGTGCCATTGCATCATCGGAACTCTAGTTCCACACCACCTAGAGACCCTTTCTGTATCCCTTCAGTGTATTCCACAGGAGATTTTTGTATGTCTTTGCAAGCTGTGTGTCACAGCAATCCATTATCTTACCCAGATGTTGCATTAAAAAGGATACTTCCATCCTTGCTTTTCTCTTCGGCGCACTCCATACCAGGCAGGGCAGAGGCCACTCTACGAAACAGCTGAATAGATAGAAGAACATGTATTACAGCAAATGGATGTGATTTCCCTGATAAATGGATCTACATAAACCTACATAACCCATGCTTACATTAATGGAGGGACATTTGTTTTTTACTATTGGTTACCATATTGTATAATTAAGACAGTTTTAAAATGGACATTACTGCGTCTATTTTATTATTCTATTTAAATGTATTGTATCTTGTTATGGTTTGCAATTTTTGTAGCATAACTGTAATAATGGTCTCTTTACAGAATTCTTATTCTTGTAGCTCATTAGTCAAATCCAGAAAAAAAAATCTCCATGCATGTATAAAATAATAAAATAATTACTGTGGTAAAAAAAGACTGATTTAACTTTAGAAATGGGATTTACTTTTTAAAAAAATTCGAAGTGCTACATTTTATAGATCACTATATGCACTAGTATTTTCCCTAAGATTGCCAGCACCCCTTCCATGACTGGTGGTTTACCGAGATATTGTGCACTTGTGGCCAAAGCTTAACTGGCACTTTTGTTATGTTTTCGTTTCACTATAATTTAATACTTTCCCTTTAAGTGCATCCACACACTTTCTTTTGAAATGTATACTAAACACAACACTATGCAATGATTTTATTTTAAATTCACATCATTGCACATAATAACTTCTAGGTAACCAATTCAACGCAAAAAAAAAAAAAACCTCAAAATAAATTTGCTTATTAGTACCAACTGTGTCTAGGATTTCAATTAAAATTTTGGAAGTTATAGGACAAATATTGCAAGGAGGGAATTCTTGTTTTAACATTAAACCTTTGCCAAATTTGGTGCACTGAGACTATTACTCCAAGTAACATGACTACTAGTGATGTAAAGTGGTCACTATGTCTATAGTCTGCATGCTACAGAGTGTAAAAGAACACTATAGTGCCAGGAATATAAACATGTATTCCTGACACTAACGTTGCAGAACTGGAAGTGCATCCACCAGATATAGGAGATATAAATCATTACTAAACAGTTTGCCCCAGTCATTACCAGGGAACTGGTCCATGATACCCCTACCTTCATAACTACAACATCAGGCTGCTTGGTGTAACGCTTTTAATATCCATCAGGGTATTTAACTAAGAGCATTTTGATAGTTTTCATTTAACCATTTTATCACAAAATGTTTTATTGTCAGGGTTAACTTTTGTAAAGACCCCAGATTTGCATTCTGTTACTGATGCGGTATAAAGCAAGATTTCTGACGACTTACAGGGGCAAATTACAAACATATCAATTTCAATTTTCACATTTTTACTTGTTGTTTTACTGAGATCATGTCACTTTTAGGAGAAAATAACAGCCCCCAACCTCACCTACCCCCATCATGGCATGCCATTTGCAAAATAAAAAAAAAGCTGTTTAATATGGGCATTTTGAGTCTTTTCATCAGGCAGTGTCATAACACATTTTGCAATAAATGTTATTCTTTTTACACAAATACAGAATTTTAGAAGTGGATTTCAAGTTCAAAGACCATATGTTTGTATTTTGATTTATCTCCCAAATACAGCAATACCCCACATGTCTACCTATGTCAGTTGCTGGGGGAATTTATAGGGTTAAATTAAAGATGTTCCCTAATATTGACATACTGTTTTGCTTGTTTCCCAGAGATGGTATTTGGTATAGGTATACTATCAGTGTCATCATACTGACCAGCATCATACTCTGAAACTATATCTAAACCTCCATTAACCTCATCTAAACCATAGTAATCCTAACTAATAGTACACTGTTTTATAAATCGTCCCTAGTCAACCTTTGCAAACACAAACTAAACCTCATCTTAACCATATCTTTACCCTAACTAACACTAACACTAACACTCATGCCAATCTTAGCAATAACCATTTCTAACACTAACACTAACAATTACTTTTTTGTGTTTAGTAAATTGGTCAATTTGCCTAATCACCCTGGGAGCCAGTCGCAATACTGACATGACTTAACGGACAGCTAATGCTTGTAATTTCTGTGATTGAAATCCAGTGTGATCATAAGGTAATGCTGGGCTGCCTCACTGTGAGGTATGTTATTCAGTGAAAATTAAGTTATCCTCTATGTTAGATTATTTAGGTGTAGGAATGTCACCTAGAGTATATCTGTTGGGTTGTAGGGATGTGCATGGGCAACAAATTCAGTTCGGCACTTCCGAAATTTGGGACTTAGGCAATTCGGGACGTCGACAATTTGGCACTTCGTTTCGGTTTGGCACTTGACTTAGGTAATTCGGCACTTTGGTTCGGTTATGCACTTCCGAAATTTGGGATTTTGGCAATTCGGAAATTTGGCACTTCAGGAATTCAGCACTTCGGCAATTCCCTAACCCTACCCCTAACACACAAGGGGTAGGGTTAGGGGTTGGGATAGGGTTAGGGTTAGAGGAACGTTGGGGTAAGAGGTAGGGTTACGGGTAGGGGTTAGATTCCTTTCATCATTTCCTTAATTTTCCCTCCTTCTCCTGTTTTGCCATTTTTCAGAAATCCAAAGCACTTCGGCACTTCCAAAATTCGGCAATTCGGTTCGGCACTTCTGAAATTCGGAAATTCAGAATTTCGTCACTTCGGCAGTTCGGTTCGGCACTTCCAAAATTCATCACTTCAGAAATTCGGCACTTTCGAAATTCGGACATTCAGAAGCATCCGAATTTTTTAAATTCGGAGCGAAACGAATTGCAAGTGTCTATTGGGTTGCATCATGGGAATAAATATGTGGCATTACATATATAATACATATATCCTGATAAGTACAGAATCTTGCTAATTTGTTGCCTGATTAAACCTTTACTCTGGATCTGAGTCCATCTGAGTCATCTGTCTGAAAAAAATCTCATTGTGGTGTAAATGCTATCCATAGTGAGACCAAGTACGTGGTCTTTCTAGGCTAGAGATCCCACACTACCCATAATGAGATGCTGCTCTCCCTTGTGATACTAAAAATGAAAATAAAACTTATAAATATATAATATTAGAGACTATGCGACAGTAGCTTGTAGTAGAGAACGCTGTAAGTATAAAAACTTCACATAGGTCTATCCCACTTCAATATTCAGTTAGGGTACTGTGATTAGAATCCAACCAATCAGTTATCTGATGGGCAAATCCAGCTTCATGTGAAACTTGCCCAGAAATGCGTATATTGAAATGTTATGATCCTTTTGACTATGAAAGGTCAAGCTGAGATGAAGCCAACCAATCACAGTGCTCTGATAGGTAAGTCTAGCTTTACATAATATGTGCCCAGTAATGTATCTATCAATATTTTATCAACCTTGTAAGGATAAAAGAGTCGAGTCTAGTCAAGCCTTTCCAGAAAAGGAAAATGTCACTCTGAGATACTGCAGGTGGAATCCACTGAATTAAGTCCACTCATAAGTTTGCAGCGTTCTGCTCTTCTGACTGGACATTTAATTGCCTCTTCACGATCTTTAGAAGCATTTGTTTTGGCACAGCCTGCCTAAATATCATAAACCTGGGGAAGTACATATAGGTCAGGAGTAGCCAGCCTGAGCTATGGTAAACTAATAAAAATAATGTAATAGTAATAATATAATATTAATTAATAATAATAACAATAATATAAACTAATAACAATAATGTTAATATTGGTTTAATTAAGTAAATTGGTTAATGACACAATAGTGGGTACTAGGACTGCTACCTATCCTACCTTCGTTCACATACCGTACATTCTCGCAGATTGAAGTCTCACCTGTTTAACATTGTATCCGGTTTTGGCGCTGGTTTCAATAAACATGACACTCAGTTCCTTTGCTCTTTGTTCTCCCTCCTCTATAGTGATCTGCCTAAAATAAAGATATGAAGAGTACATGGGTTTGAAATGCCAAAACTTGTTGAGTAACCAGCTCCTGTTGCACTGTTGCTCTATCTATATACACAAGTTATAATGCAGATAATAGGATACAGGAACAGAATGTGGAGTAAAAATCTATCCTGCTACATAATTTACATTGGTTTCCATGTTTTTAAGTAAAGTTAAATGTTAGCTGCAGAATTTGTACTTAAAGGGACACTATGGTCACCAGTATCACTACAGCTTAATGTAGTGGTTCTGGTGTCTATAGCATGTCCCTGCAGACTCAGCAATGTAAACACTGATTTTCATCTCAAGGTCACTCAGATGGCCAAAAGTGATGCGTCCTATCTCAGTGCTGCACAGTGTGCTGCAACCTACATTCAGAATCTCCATGCTCTGCATGGAGACACTGAATGCTCCCCATAGAGATGCAACAATTCACTCAGTGGGGAAAGCATTGGATTGGCTGAAATCATCAAGATTGATGATCTCAGCCATGAAGGTGGAGTCAGGTGGGGCGAGACTGGCACAGCGATGGAGAAAAGCTAAGTAAAACCTTTACTGTGACCTTATGGGGGCCGGGAGCTTAAATAAGTAGTCTAACACTATAGTGTTTCTTTAATAATATATCTCCTGAAATCCTTCTAGATACTCATTGAACTGCAAGGAATTTCAAGAGTTCTCCTCCACATGACCAATTAAACTGTTAACAGCTCCCGACTGATTCCTCTTCTGCAACTGTCACTAGTCTAATACTATCCCTACCTTTTTGTGTCATTTTACCCCACTCCCTCTAGCATGTAAGCTCATTGAGCAGGGTCCTCAACCCCTCTGTTCCTGTGAGTCCAACTTGTCTGGTTACATCTACATGTCTGTTCGTCCACCCATTGTAAAGCGCTGCGGAATTTGACGGTGCTCTATAAATATCATAATAATAATAATAATAATGACACTCATGTTTATTCACTGAAGCAGGAATTTAGAAGGGGATTGCAAATTGCATCCTTCGCAGCCAGGCTGGAAAAATAACAATCAAAAAGAGAGCGCATGTATTACAAATAAAAGACTTGCGTAATAGTCTATATATGGTCTAAATAAAACAATAAAAATAGTACCCAATGTACTCAAACAGTAATAGCTACTAAAACAAAAAGAATTTTCCCAATTCCAAAGAACAAATGCAAATATGGATTTCAGCGCTAAGTAAATAATCCCCTTAAAAGTAAAAAAGGTGCATACATATGCAAAAATGGAAAAATCATACAGAAAAAAAGTGTCCAGAATGTATAATACCGTAACAAAGTCCTGCAACAAAAAAAAAGTCCAAATAACGTTGTGATATGTAGAGATTCAAAAGCATGTAGAAATACCTTAGAAAAAAAGAAACAGAAAAAGATACATAGCGTGATACTGTATCAAAAATTTATTGCCCAACATAAAAATGAGAAAAATCCCCCCCAACTTCAAAACTCTTACATTAGATAAAACGTGATACTCATCATAGTAGATTTTGCCGAAAAAGTTCTTTCAAAGCCACTCGTATTCTTTCCTTAGAGACAGCTGCTCTCTGGTGCACTCAGGAGGGCTGCCCGTGATGTAGTCTATTGAGTAACGCTGGCTGAAAGTCCGGCTTCTGTCGAGTACTTCTAAAGTCTGCCACTGGTAGATCTGGCAGATAGACAATTGTAGCACCCTATCAACGCGTTTCGCCCTACTAACGAGGGCTTTTTCAAGATAGGTGCTCGGAACATTATTCGGCAGTTTTATACCTTGCCGGGTAAAACCAATTCAAATCTCTTAAGGGTATACACCCTTCTTAAAACACATATTAAAAAGAACAACGGTTCATATGAACAGGGGCAAGTTACTTCCCCATAGTTCTTCTAAAATCAATGTATAAAACACAATATTGATCAAATACAATTTATGCTTAAATTTAAATTGCTAATTCTATACACAAATCCTAAACATAAAGCAATCACTGCAATAGTGATTGCTATAAACATGCAAATACATCAGACTCTTGGATGTCAATATTTTAACTCATATAACATCATAGGTATTATTTAGCCAATGATGTGAAAATAATAATTAAATCTTAACAAATAACCACAGAGTATATAAATTTATCAGAAGTGTATCTATCTAATAAGAAACCTAATAACAAGTAGTGCCCCCAGGACTGTGAAAAGGAGAAAGTGCTAACTTTTAGGGACTTGTAGCATACAAAACTGTGATTAAACACGAATTGGGACTAGAAGCAATAAGAAAAATTCTGTATGAGGAACCTACCATGTTAGTGGAACAAGTAGAATTTTTAATTGAATGTATCGACTTCATATTGAACAACAATTTTTTTTGGTATGGTAGTGATATATATCTACAGACCAATGGCACTGCTATGGGGACCAGGTTCGCTCCCAGCTACGCCAACATTTTTATGGCTTATTGGGAAAATCTATTCGTTTGGCAAGGACATGAGTGGGGAGCGAACCTGGTCTTCTATAGACGATACATCGATGATTGTTTTTTTGTGTGGAAGGGCAAGGAAGCAGACCTCATAGAATTTCTAGCATATATTAACAATAATACATATAATTTATCTTTTACACACAAGTACAGTTCCACAGAGATAGATTTCCTAGATTTGGTTCTCTATATTGATTCACAACATACTTTAAAATCCAAGACTTTTTTTAAAAGTGTAGACGTCAATAGCTACATTTGGACCTCGAGTTGCCACTATCCAACATGGCTATCGAGCGTCCCATTTGGTCAATTTTTAAGGGTTAAAAAAAACTGCACAGATCCAGAGACGTATGAACTTCAATCACAAAAGGTTAAGCAACAGTTTATGGAGAAGGATTATAATGAGGAAACACTGGAGATAGCTCTCCAGAAAGTGAAAAATATAGAACGTGCAACCCTTTCACAAACCAAACAAAAGAAAGCCAAAACAGATAAAGACACAGATAACTTGTGCCCTCTAGTGTTTAATTATAGCACACAAGCAAAATGCATTAAAACAAGCATACAAAAACACTGGCACCTACTTCGGCAGGACCCGGTTTTGGCTACACTTTTGCCTATACAACCAATGGTAATTTTTAGGGGGGCACCAACACTACAAGATAAACTGGTACACAGCTATAACAAGTCTATAAGACCTAATCATTTTTTGACTGGTCAAAAAGGATTTTACAAATGTGGAAATTGCAATATATGCAAACTAAGCTCCAGAGGGAAAAACTATTCCACCTTTCAGTCCTCGGTCACAAAAGAAACGTTTGACATCAAGAATTGTATAGCGTGTAATACCAAACAAGTCATCTACAAGTTGGAGTGCCCTTGTGGCCTCCAATACGTGGGTCAAACCAAAAGAACACTTAAGATTAGACTCAGAGAACACGTTTACAACATTAAAAGGGGTTTTGAGAAACACTCCCTCTCCAATCACTTTAGAATACACCACAATGGAGACCCAACACTTCTCTCATATTGTGGTATAGAAAGGGTAGAAATACCATGGAGAGGAGGGGAGTTGAGCAAAACCCTAACATACCGAGAGATGTTTTGGATCTATACACTTAGGACCCTGATTCCCTCGGGTCTCAATGCAGAGCTGGAATTAGCCAACATATTATAGTATAGGATTAGAACTATCATTAAATATTCAATCTATTGTATTATTTCTCTAGAGTTCTGATCTAGGTGGGAACTTATATTCCCAAGAAGTTGGGAATCCTAGTTCTATATTGCTTTATAGCTACATGCACTGATATAAATATATTTCATATATATTTTATATACATATATTTTACCAAGTATACAAGTTTCGATTCTATATGTTGGGAGCTTATAGAATACAATAATACTAATCATCATATTTTTATGAATCTACTATTTTATGTACTAGACATGGTTTTGTATGCTACAAGTCCCTAAAAGTTAGCACTTTCTCCTTTTCACAGTCCTGGGGGCACTACTTGTTATTAGGTTTCTTATTAGATAGATACACTTCTGATAAATTTATATACTCTGTGGTTATTTGTTAAGATTTAATTATTATTTTCACATCATTGGCTAAATAATACCTATGATGTTATATGAGTTAAAATATTGACATCCAAGAGTCTGATGTATTTGCATGTTTATAGCAATCACTATTGCAGTGATTGCTTTATGTTTAGGATTTGTGTATAGAATTAGCAATTTAAATTTAAGCATAAATTGTATTTGATCAATATTGTGTTTTATACATTGATTTTAGAAGAACTATGGGGAAGTAACTTGCCCCTGTTCATATGAACCGTTGTTCTTTTTAATATGTGTTTTAAGAAGGGTGTATACCCTTAAGAGATTTGAATTGGTTTTACCCGGCAAGGTATAAAACTGCCGAATAATGTTCCGAGCACCTATCTTGAAAAAGCCCTCGTTAGTAGGGCGAAACGCGTTGATAGGGTGCTACAATTGTCTATCTGCCAGATCTACCAGTGGCAGACTTTAGAAGTACTCGACAGAAGCCGGACTTTCAGCCAGCGTTACTCCATAGACTACATCACGGGCAGCCCTCCTGAGTGCACCAGAGAGCAGCTGTCTCTAAGGAAAGAATACGAGTGGCTTTGAAAGAACTTTTTCGGCAAAATCTACTATGATGAGTATCACGTTTTATCTAATGTAAGAGTTTTGAAGTTGGGGGGGATTTTTCTCATTTTTATGTTGGGCAATAAATTTTTGATACAGTATCACGCTATGTATCTTTTTCTGTTTCTTTTTTTCTAAGGTATTTCTACATGCTTTTGAATCTCTACATATCACAACGTTATTTGGACTTTTTTTGTTGTTGCAGGACTTTGTTACGGTATTATACATTCTGGACACTTTTTTTCTGTATGATTTTTCCATTTTTGCATATGTATGCACCTTTTTTACTTTTAAGGGGATTATTTACTTAACGCTGAAATCCATATTTGCATTTGTTCTTTGGAAAAATAACAAACTTGGAAGTATGCTAGATCTGCTATTTTGGCCTTATGTTCAATCTCTGCTTATTTCCTGGCAATTTGGGGATTCACATGGTCAAACCATTCGGCATGTGGATTATAGTTAAGCTCACACAGTCACATATTGGAAACTAACTTCATATTGGAAACTAATTTGAAGCCTTTAATTCACTAAATGATCAGAATCCATGGAGATTAGTCTGGTCACTACATGACAATCTATTTTACATAATATACACCTTTATACATATACGTGTATAATTCGTTGTTGAGTTAGTAACTATATTTTATGTAATTTAGTTTTTTATCAGAGCACAAAAAAATAACAGAGCCTTTGACTTACTCTGTTGTACAGTAGAATACAAACTAAATGATGTGCTGTGGAATCTTCAGTACATGTAGGACTTAGGTCATATTGAACAAGTACCTTACATATGACAAGCTAATAACCTGCATAAAATGATTCCCATACATTTATTGGTACACACAAAAATTGCAATCCCCCATTAATGTGATAGCGCTAGATGAGTAATAAAAGGTGATCAGCACATTAAACAAGATGAGTCTTAAAACAGATAGCATTTCTTGAAGAAAACAATGTTGGGAGAGATGTGCCAGCAATTGGGATTAAATAGAGATACCTTTCTACAGGGCCGCACTGGGAATTAAAAGCAGCCCTGGAAAAAAAATATTTACCAGCCCCATAATGCGTCGCGCCAGCATAGTGTGCAGATACAGAGTTAGAAAAGAGAACTTAAAATTAAAAATTATTACTCCAACGTAAACAAAAAGCACTCATAGGCTCCAAAATAAACAAAAGTGCAGATTTATTTTAAGCAGACGTGCCTTTGCATGTAATCAATGTTTCAGTCCAACTGCCTTGACATATTAAGGAAAGCTTGTTAATGGGACTGAAATGGTGAATGTATATAGGGCACAACTGTAAAAAAATGACATTATCTTGTTTATTTTGAAGTCCTGTGGGTGCGCTCTTCACTTTTAAATATGTTATTGTGATGGAGTCTGCATCTAGTAACAAGACTGGGCCAATATCTGCTCATTGCATATAGTACATATTAATGACATTTATCTGTGTATTATGCATATATAAATGTACATTAATATGTGTAAATATAATAGGTATATATATGTATATATATATAAATAAAACTAATACACATTAATATACATGTCATATACCAGTGGTGGATGCAGAGCCTGATCCCGGGAGGGGCACTTGTAGATTATTTAAAGAAATAATCCATGCACAATAACCACTACTACTCTGTGTAGTGGTTATGGTGCAAGGAGTGCCGGGACCCCCTCCCAGAGTAAGTAGTCAAACCGTTTAAGAACAGTTTGACAACTTATCTGGGGTCTGCTGGGATATGGGGCTGTAGTAGGGTATAGGAGCAGTGGTGCAATGTGTGAGGGGTGGCAGTGTGTGTGAAAGGTTCAGTGTATGTGTGTGAGGGGGGTGTAGTGTGTGAATGTGTAGGGTGTGTGGGGCAATGTGTGTATGGGGGGGCTGTGTATGTGTGTGTGTGTGTGTGTGCAGAAATGTGTGTGGGGGGGGCTGTGTATGTATGGGGGGCAGTGTGTGAATATGTATGGTGTGTGTGGGGGCAGTGTGTGTATGGGGGGCAGTGTGTGCCGCACGGTGCCTGTGGAACGGGGAGGGAGATCGGCTGGCAGAGCCTCATGGGTGGGGGGAATTGCCCTGTTGCCTCCCCCCAGATCCACCAGTGATATATACAGCCCCTATGTGTGTCTCTTTATCTCCAGCCCATCTGTGTGCCTTTTTTGTCTCCCCACAGTCACTCTGTATGTTTCTTTCTCCCCCTCACTGCTCCTCTGTGTCTATGTCTCCCCTCTCCTTTAAAGTCTCCTCTATTCCCCCTCTGCTCTTTCTCCCCCTCCCCTTGTGTGTCTCTCTCCTTTCCCTCTGCCTCTTTCTCCCCCCCTCCCCTTGTGCTTCTCTCCTTTCCCCCTCTGCCTCTTTCTCCCCCCTCCTTGTGTGTCTCTCTCCTTTCCCCCTCTGCCTCTTTCTCCCCCTCCCCTTGTGCGTCTCTCTCCTTTCCCTCTCTGCCTCTTTCTCCCCCTCCCCTTGTGCTTCTCTCTCCTTTCCCCCTCTGCCTCTTTCTCCCCCTCCCCTTGTGTGTCTCTCTCCTTTCCCCCTCTGCCTCTTTCTCCCCCTCCCCTTGTGTGTCTCTCTCCTTTGCCCCTCTGCCTCTTTCTCCCCCTCCCCTTGTGTGTCTCTCTCCTTTCCCCCTCTGCCTCTTTATCCCCCTCCCCTTGTGTGTCTCTCTCCTTTCCCCCCCTCTGCCTCTTTCTCCCCCCTCCTTTTCGTCTGTCTCCTTTCCCCTGTCTCTTTTCTCCCCCTCCCCTGTGTATCTCCTCTCCTTTCCCCCCTCTGTCTCTTTCTCCCCCTCCCTTGTGTGTCTCTCTTCTTTCCCCCCCCTGTGTCTCTTTCTCCCCCTCCCCTTGTGTGTCTCTCCTTTGCCTGTCTCTTTCTCCCCCTCCCCTTGTGTGTCTCTATCCTCTCCCCCTGTCTCTTTATCCCCCTCCCCTTGTGTCTCTCTATCCTTTCCCCGTCTTTCTCCCACCCTTTCCCCCTGTCTCTCCCCCCTCTCTCTCCCCTTTGTCTCTTTCCCCCTCTATTTTATTTCCCCCCTCCCCTTGTGTCTCTTTATTCCCATCTTCCCCCTCCCATTTACCTGACAGGAGTTAGGGGGGCCGGCTGCATTCCACTCTGGAGCCGCCGATCCGGCGGCACTCCTGTCACTGCTGTGGCTGAGGAGTGAAGGAGGAGGAGGGAGGAGCATGTTTCTGTACCATGCTCCCTCGCGGTTCCTGTGCTGGGGATTGTGGGAGCCGCGAGGAAGCATGGTACAGAAACATGCTCCTCCCTCCTCCTCCTTCACTCCTCAGCCACAGCAGTGACAGGAGTGCCGCTGGACCGGCGGCTCCAGAGTGGAATGCAGCCGCCAGCCCACCGGCCGCCTCAGAGTGCGTGCCACCGGACCGGCCACCCGGTGGCACATACATACTCAGCGCAGCCCCCAGATGCCGCGGCCCACCGGGAAATTTCCCGGTATCCCGGTGGGCCAGTCCGGCCCTGCATTTCTATATATGATACCCTTGTATACAGAGTCTATTAAATTATGTATGTAGGCTGTGTAGAAGTAAAAGTGAATTATAATAATGTCTAATCTTACAATAGACTTCTCTCCTGCAAATGTCAAAAATAACCTACTAAGTTCTCAGTGATTACTTTTCTAGCAGCCTATTTCATTCTTCCTACTACCCTTTGTGTCACTATACTCCACTCCCTCTAGCATGTAAGCTCATTGAGCAGGGCTCTTTGCCCCTCTGTTCCTGTGCATCCATTTGTCTGGTTACAATGACGTGTCTGTTAGTCCACCCATTGTACAGTGCTACGGAATTTGCTGGTGCTATATAAATAATAATAATAGTAAAATCTCTCTATTCCCATGGAAACCTTTCTTCTGACAATTTAGGTATGGGAGTGAATCATGTAGAAAAGCTAACTCATGTAAAATGCAATATGGGGTCTTTACCCAAACATCTTAACTTGGATTGGTGAGCACATGCAGGATGGTCCTTGTTGTAGGTCAGCAGGTGCAGGGGGCTAAAACCACTAAGATCAGGTTTAGGTTTAGGCCTGCTCTTTAGGTCCTCTAAAGTCTTTGGTCCTGCATGTTTAACCCTGCAATGTAAAAAATATTGCAGTTTTGGAGAACATTGCTATGTTAAACACATCTCCTTTGGGTGTGATGCTGAAAGCCACTAGAGGCACTTCCTCAGGTAATTAAGTAAAACACTGCCATGTGACTGCAAGTCGCACACACCACGCATGCACATTGGGATGAGGAGCACTGGATTGGACCGACTCCAGAGGAAGCCATGCCTCTTCCATGCTTCATTGTCAGTGGGACATTCTTTTGGACCGTAAAAAAAGCCTTTTTAGTTGATTTTATTCTAAACCGAGGAAGGGGACCTGTTTGGTATGTACTCATACCACACTTCTGCTGGTGTAACATTATCAAACTTAATACCGTGTTGAGATCTCTGAGTACCTGTATATCAGACTGGTCTCTGAGACACAGTGTGTCATTATGTAAATAAACCCTGAAGAAAGTCCTACTTCACACAATACATGTTTTATGGTAGAGCCCTGGTAACTTGAGGCATGTCCACCGTTCAGGTAACAAATGTAGAGAAAAGCAATCAGTATTTCAGTATGGAAAGACTGATTGGGTACTACTTTGGCAGTAGACTGATGTACAAGTCTATCCTGAGACCTTAACGCTGAGACCTTAACGCTGAGATAACTCACAGTAGTATTACCAGTAGGATTCATAGAATAGAATACATAGAACAGAGATGGTTGACCTCCTTTGATTACTGTGAGCACTAGCTAGGCTTTTTATACCCTTCTGTTTGGTACCGAATATAGACTAGATTGTGTGAAAAATACTGTACCTGTGACACCCTAATATATCACTCTAGGAGTTTAGTGAACAATACTCCTTTTGTGTGTAAAATTACTTATTAAACTTTTCACATGGTTTTCACTTGGTAATCTTTTTTCTGTGCTATCATATATTATTTTATTTCAGGAACATAATGCAATTAAATTTTAAGAATTAGTTCACCTAATCCCTTGATGTACCTATACAGTTACATATAGGTGATTCTCGAAAAATATCGTTCAAAAGTTAATTTATTTCAGTAATGCAATGTAAAAGGGGAAACTAATATATGAGATAGACGCATTACATGCAAAGCAAGATAGTCCAAGCCGTGATTTGTCGTAAGTGCGATGATTATGGCTTACAGCTCATGAAAACCCCAAATCCACAATCTCAGTAAATTAGAATATTACATGCAATCAATAAAACAAGGAGTGTACATAGAACAATATCAGAGCTCTGAAAAGTATAAGCATGCATATGGACTCAGTACTTGGTTTGGGCCCCTTTTGCAGCAATTACTGCCTCAAAGCGGCGTGGCATGGAAGCTATCAGCCTGTGTCACTGCTGAGGTGTTATGGAAGGATGCTTCAATAGCAGCCTTCAGCATTTCTGCATTGTTTGGTCTCATGTATCTCATCTTTCTCTTGGCAATGCCCCATAGATTCTCTATGGGGTTCAGGTCAGGCGAGTTTGCTGGCCAATCAAGCACAGTAGTCCCACGGTCATTGAACCAGGCTTTGGTGCTTTTGGCAGTGTGGGCAGGTGGAAAATTAAGTCAGCACCCCCATAAAACTCGTCTGCGGAAGGAAGCATGAAGTGCTCCAAAATCTCCTGGTAGACGGCTGCGTTGACCCTGGACTTAATGAAGCACAGTGGACCAACACCAGCAGATGGCTCCCCAAATCAACACAGGCTATGGAAACTTCATACTGGACTTCAAGCATCTTGCAGTGTGTGCCTCCCCATTCTTCCTCCAGACTCTGGGTCCTTGGTTTCCAAATAAGATGCAAAAGTTGCTCTCACCAGAAAAGACGACTTTGGACCACTGAGCAACTGACCAGGTCTGTTTTTCTTTAGCCAATGTAAGACGCTTCTGACGTTGTTTGTTGTTCAGGAGCGGCTTGACAAGAGAAATACGACATCTGAAGCCCATGTCCAGGATCCATCTGTGTGTGCTGGCTCTTGATGCACTGACTCCAGACTCAGTCCACTCCTTGTGAAAGTCCCCAACACTTTTGAATGGCCCTTTCCTGACAATCCCATCCAGGCTGCGGTCATCCCTGCTGCTTGTGCACCTTTTTCTTCCACACTTTTCCCTTCCACATAACTTTCTATTAATGTTCTTTGATACAGCACTTTGGGAACATCCAACTTCCTTCGCAATTACCTTTTGAGGCTTTCCCTCCTTATGGAGGGTGTCAATTATGTTTTTCTGCACAATTGTCAGGTCAGCAGTCTTCCCCATGATTGTGATTCCTATTGAACCAGACTGAGAGACTATTTAAAGGCTCAGAAACCCTTTGCAGGTGTTATGGCTTACTTAGCTGATTAGAGTTGGACACTATGAGCCTAGAATATTGCACCTTTTCACAATATTCTAATTACTGAGATTGTGGATTTGGGGTTTTCATGAGCTGTAAGCCATAATCATCGCACTTATGACAAATCACGGCTTGAACTATCTCGCTTTGCACTTTAAATCAGTTTCCCCTTTTACGTTGCATTACTGGAATAAATGAACTTTTGCACAATATTCTAATTTTTCGAGTATCACCTGTATATCTAAAGTATTGCAATTGATTGACGTCTGTTTCAGTGTAGCTAAGTTTCACATAATCATATTTATATACAGAAAGTATAGGGATATTGAATATATAACAGAGATTTAACAATGTAGAAAAAAAAAAAACGAAACCACACAATGACCAAAAACTGTGTATGCATTCTTACCTTTTATCTGCAAGATCTGTCTTATTTCCAACTAGCATTATAATGACATCACTTCCTCTTTCTGTTCTGACATCATCAATCCATTTTGATGTTTGGTGGAAGGAATTCAGATCTGCAGAACACGTAAGGAATATTGGCAATACGGGTTTATCGATATTTGTTGAAATGTTTTTAATGTTTTAAGAGCGCAGCATAAAGCATGGGACAAATGATAAGCAAGCTGATTGAGCCATGGCAAAACATCTGCAATTCTAGTGGAAATATTAATCAAAAAATAATTAATGTACAGTATGTCTGCCTAGGTTTCTATTGGACTAAGAAAGTAGTTTTATTATTAATCGTCTCATAGCATGCCTCCCTTATCTTCAATCACTCTTGTATTTGGAGAATCATCAAATCTAGGCACATCTTAAAAACTTTGCGTTGAGCCTATAATTGTTGACGCCAAAATGATCTACAGGTTCATCCTCTAGAACTGAGATCTTTTGATATTTTTTAAAGGGATAATATCTCATGATTTGAACCAGGCATTTTGAACCCTGTCGTGTGAATTCAACAGTGCTTGCTGCTTGCCTTAGATCCCACTATCTGTCAGTTATGCATAATGGTTTACCAGCAAGGACTGTCCAGGATATTATTAAGGAGGCCATACATAATAGGGGTTTCTGAGGAATAATACATAGAGATTTTACACGCAATAGAAAAAGCCAGCAAATGTCTGAGACATAAAAGAAGCCAGACTTTTCAGCTCATTAAATCTTCGTCAAATTTGCCAGTTTTCACGGATACAAACCCTGTGTGCCCTCTTACAATCTGCCACCTCTTCAGGCTGTGAAATTTGCATCATCTCCTGGCTCTTTAACCGCACACACCATCACCTTAATTTGCGAAAATCAAACACACACAACTGTGATAAGAGCAGAAACATGCTAATGAGATGCTAAAGAGCTGCTAATAGGATCCATTAATTCTTTAATGGATGATAAAGTGTTTTTAAGGATTTGAGATATGAAGGTGCACCCGGGGGGGTGGGGGGGGGGGGTCTAAGCTGCTAATCAGACATTGCAGTAATAATCATCTCCTAGAGATGGCAGCGTGCTGGCTACTTTCTAATTAAAGCCATCAAAAGGTTTATTAACAACCTCTATTTGCTCTAGGGTACCACAAACACTATGCAGATTCCCTTTTCAATCAGAGCACAGTATACACTCACTGGAATAGGGTGCAGTAAAAAAATGAAGTGAATAACACATACAAACTTAAAATAAACATACCTACACAAGTTTTCATTTTAAAAAGAACAGGGATAAAGAGGGATTGTCATTTCCCAGGTTTTTTTAACATTATATATTATTATAGGGATTTAATATATCCCCATATTTAACACACAGTAGGGTGTGAAAAATACAATTAGCAGGGTTATTTGCCAAAGTGAGATTTCTAGGTGAATTTAAAGTGATTTTCAAATTTGAGACCAGGTTAGCCGAACTCAAAGTAGACCTGACTTAGATAATGTTTCAGCTATTTTTCCCTTGAATTTGAAATTCACTTTAAAGGACCATTATAGGCACCCAGACCACTTCAGCTTAATGAAGTGGTCTGGGTGCCAGCTCCATCTAGTGTTAACCCTGCCCGCTGTAAACATAGCAGTTTCAGAGAAACCGCACAAAGAAACTGCTATGTTTACATATGGGTTAATATAGCCTCTAGTGGCTGTCTTGACAGCCGCTAGAAGGTGCTTACGCGCTTCTCACTGTGAAAAATCACAGTGAGAAGACGCTAGCGTCCAAAGGAAAGCATTGAGAGCTCTTGCCGCGCATGTGCATTCAGCCGATGATGTCGGAAGGAGGAGGAGAGTCCCCTGCACCGGGGGAGCCCAGCGCTGGAGAAAGGTAAGCCTTTAACCCCTTCCTCCCCCTACAGCCCGGCAAGGGGAGCCATGAGGGTGTGGGGACCTATTAACACTATAGTGCCAGGAAAACGATTTTGTTTTCCTGACACTATAGTGGTCCTTTAAATTCTCACTGTAGTGAAAAACTCTGTTAATGAAGAAATTCACAGCTCTGGGACCTGCCATCTTAGCTCAGTGACAGTCATTGAAATATAAACTCTGTCAGCACAGATAAAGCACACAGAGAAAAGGAGAATGAAACAATGTTTTTATTTCTCTACTTCATTTTCAATGCTTGCCGATATTTCCCTAGTCTTAACTGGACTATGATGTCATCAGATAAATGTTTCATATGAATTGAAAAGAAAACAAAGCTTTTCATGAAAATAAAAAAGGTTAACATGAGTTAGTGGTGGTTTCAATGTTTTATTTAATGGTGTATATTCTAGAAAAGTGACAATTTACCTTTAATTAGCAAAGTGCATGTAGAAACTGCAGGGCTAAGTCGAGCATGTAACTCAAGTCACAAAAAATAACTTTTATAATAAACCATATACAAGCAGACGTTTTAAATGATGACACGATACATTTTGTTAATCTACTTTGCCCATTCCACATATAAAACACAAGATTCCATTTTCAAATACAGAACATAAACCTTTATCCAATCTATGGTCGCACTTATCAGTTGTATGTCAAACTACAATCTCTGATGTAAAGAGGTTGTATCCATTTGTCAAAGGCCTCTATGAAGGCCGAAACGTTGCACATTCAGTTTTCAATAAATATGCCTCTTTGAAGAAACCTTGAGTGCCTGGACCTACTTTCTATTAATATGATCCATATCTGGTTCCCAAAGCTAATTCAATGTTTCCCCTCTGTTGGTAAATTAAGGGACACTGTTGGCACTATAACACTTGCATCTTATTAAATTGGTTATAGTGTCTGGAGTCGTCTGGTGCTCTCCCTCCATTCAGTGGTAAAAGGGACACTATAGGCACCACTTCATCTACCTCATTGGGTGCAGAGATTTCTCTAGTGGCTGTCTATCAAGGTGGGGTGGGATAGGGGGAGAACGCAAAGGTGTATTCCAAGCACTATAGTCTTCTTTTAAGTCAGGCTTCCCCAAATTTCTGCCCTCCAGATGTTGCTGAAGTACAAATCCCATGATTCTCAGCCTATCTATTTTAAACAACATCTGGGGGGCCAGAGTTTGGGGAAGCCTGCTTTAAGTCACGTTTAAGCTGTTGAAACTAAATAAGGGTCCCTGGCCACTCACAGCCTATTTCAGAACTACCACATTAGCAGCTCTCTTTATAAAAATTAACTCTGAATCTTAGTTCTACACCAATGATGGTGTGACGGAGCTCCAGTACTCCAATCGAGTACCTCCACCAAATCTGCTTTCTAGTAGCTATCAGGGACCCTGGAGCACTTTAGACCCAGTTGCCGAGGCTTGACTGGGATTACTGAAGGCCTTTTCCACCCTGGACCAGGCTACTGTGTATACAGCCCTGGACACACTTTCCATTAGCAGATTAACCCAAATACAAGATGACACTTATTGAAGGTTAAAACAGCAACTAACTTTAATACAAATAGCACATATATTTTAAGCCCACAACAGCCTCATTTATATACAACAGGGTGCATGGAACACTATAGTACAAGCAAGAGTGGGGTCAGACAATAGCAAGGGCTGATGGGAGATTGAGGAGGGACAAAGCAGCTAGTTTAAACTGGTCTGGCAGTGTCCCTGGGACAAATCCCTGCTGGGGAAACAATGGGACAGGACAAAAGGGGAGGAGGTGAGGCACAGACAAGCAATACATTAAACATACCCTGCACCAATAATGGGCACAGGGTGACCAAACCACAAGCGGAATCTGGGGACCTACAAATAGTGTCTGTCTTCCATTCCCAGTGACGATAACTACCATCACAGATGGGTAACCTCTTTTATCATTCCAGCTGTTGAGATATGTAATTCACAAATGGAGTCACAATTAGTAACCATCAATGCACTACAATGTTACTGATCCAAGCAATGTCTTAAATATGCAAGCAATTTCAGTAGAAAAAAACATCAAGAGATGTCTGTAGAAATCTGTCTGTAAAGAGGTTTTATTAAAAAAGGAAAAAGCTATTACAATTCCCAAACATATCTTTAGTTGTTTAATTGATTTGCTGTTTATCAAAAGGAAAAGGAAGAGTATTGGGGCAGTTCTTTTATAGATACACGCCATATAGAATCAGCGAATGAGTGCATATTGGAAATTTATGGTAGATCAAAGGAACCTACTTGTGATGTCATAAACCACTACAGCCACGGTAGAATCCCGGATATAACTGGGTATGAGGCTCCGGAACCTCTCCTGACCGGCAGTGTCCCACAGTTGCAGCCTGACCTGAGGTGACAGGAGATGAAGAAAGTGAGGTAAGTAAAGATTTACCATATGCAAAGCAGAAAAATGGAGGGTGAAAGAAACACAGCAAAAGTGGGCCAAATCCATGCGTAGATATAGTTATATTACTGAGTCTACATCCACCAGACAGAATATCACAAAATCACAATATTGCGCAGTTAAAGATAATGAGCAGGAATCCATTTCTAATGAATGCATACATCAAATTAGAAAGAGGAAATACGTTTTCAATGTTTTATATTTACAAAGTAAGTAATTAATGTATAGAAAGAGCCAGATATGTAGATAATTCGATTTATGACAAGGAAGTTAAGAGTAAGGAAAAAAATCAGTGAGCGACAGTAGCAAGAGGAGGACCAAAAAAAAGAGTGAATAAACAAAAAAATTAATATTCTAAAATTAATCTTGCATTAAATTATATGTTTTGCTATTTGTATGCTTACAAAGATTGTCCCCCTTCCTCCTTAATCTGGTGCACAGGCCGAATTAGTCTTTCTACTTGCTCAATACTATCTATATCTATATATACATATATGCTTATATTTGTAATTATTATTATTATTTATAAAGCGCCAACAAGTTCCGTAGCGCTGTACAATGGGTGGACTAATAGACATATATTTGTAACCAGACGAGTTTGACGCACAGGAACAGAGGGATTGAGGGCCCTGCTCAATGAGCTTACATGGTAGATGGAGTGGGGTATAGTGATACAAAAGGTAAGGGTAGGGTAGAAAAGTAGGTTACTAGGATAGTATAATCCATCTTTCGACCTATTACAATGAGACGTTTGCACGTTTCTTCTCTCCCTATACTGCAAAGTAGACTGACATGATTCAACGTTCAATGCAGATTAATACCGAGGGGGAGGGGACTGTGAACAAGATGCTATAGCAATGCGCAATAAATCAGCTTCATGTACAGAATGCCAAGTCTACACCAGTAACTGTATTTAATATTATTGTTGCATACAGCAATATTTGGTAATACTGGATAGAATGCCATAGCTACATGCAGATTTTTACAAATCACTGTTAACAGGTATTTTATGGATTTTTATAAATACTGCATTCCTCTCTTACTCATCCTAGTAAACACTACTGAAGGCTTTACAGGGAAGGGGTGTGCAGAATTTAGATGGAAATGTATACAGGGAGTGCAGAATTATTAGGCAAATGAGTATTTTGACCACATCATCCTCTTTATGCATGTTGTCTTACTCCAAGCTGTATAGGCTCGAAAGCCTACTACCAATTAAACATATTAGGTGATGTGCATCTCTGTAATGAGAAGGGGTGTGGTCTAATGACATCAACACCCTATATCAGGTGTGCATAATTATTAGGCAACTTCCTTTCCTTTGGCAAAATGGGTCAAAAGAAGGACTTGACAGGCTCAGAAAAGTCAAAAATAGAGAGATATCTTGCAGAGGGATGCAGCACTCTTAAAATTGCAAAGCTTCTGAAGCGTGATCATCGAACAATCAAGCGTTTCATTCAAAATAGTCAACAGGGTCGCAAGAAGCGTGTGGAAAAACCAAGGCGCAAAATAACTGCCCATGAACTGAGAAAAGTCAAGCGTGCAGCTGCCATGATGCCACTTGCCACTTGCCACCAGTTTGGCCATATTTCAGAGCTGCAACATCACTGGAGTGCCCAAAAGCACAAGGTGTGCAATACTCAGAGACATGGCCAAGGTAAGAGGCTGAAAGACGACCACCACTGAACAAGACACACAAGCTGAAACGTCAAGACTGGGCCAAGAAATATCTCAAGACTGATTTTTCTAAGGTTTTATGGACTGATGAAATGAGAGTGAGTCTTGATGGGCCAGATGGATGGGCCCGTGGCTGGATTGGTAAAGGGCAGAGAGCTCCAGTCCGACTCAGACGCCAGCAAGGTGGAGGTGGAGTACTGGTTTGGGCTGGTATCATCAAAGATGAGCTTGTGGGGCCTTTTCGGGTTGAGGATGGAGTCAAGCTCAACTCCCAGTCCTACTGCCAGTTCCTGGAAGACACCTTCTTCAAGCAGTGGTACAGGAAGAAGTCTGCATCCTTCAAGAAAAACATGATTTTCATGCAGGACAATGCTCCATCACACGCGTCCAAGTACTCCACAGCGTGGCTGGCAAGAAAGGGTATAAAAGAAGAAAATCTAATGACATGGCCTCCTTGTTCACCTGATCTGAACCCCATTGAGAACCTGTGGTCCATCATCAAATGTGAGATTTACAAGGAGGAAAACAGTACACCTCTCTGAACAGTGTCTGGGAGGCTGTGGTTGCTGCTGCACGCAATGTTGATGGTGAACAGATCAAAACACTGACAGAATCCATGGATGGCAGGCTTTTGAAATGGGTATATATTTGTTTTTTGTCAAGTTGCCTAATAATTATGCACAGTAATACTCACCTGCACACACAGATATCCCCCTAACATAGCTATAACTAAAAACAAACTAAAAACTACTTCCAAAAATATTCAGCTTTGATATTAATGAGTTTTTTGGGTTCATTGAGAACATGGTTGTTGTTCAATAATAAAATTAATCCTCAAAAATACAACTTGCCTAATAATTCTGCACTCCCTGTATGTGTAGCTGTTGGGTGATTGGTGCAATCATTTTCCTCTATTCCCTGCATGCGTGCCATGAACGATTTTTTTCCCATGATTCTATGCGCATGCATGCACATTTACCAGCAATGTGCATCAGATGCCAGACTGTGCCATTTTTAGAAAATGTAAATAAAAACATTGAGAATTAAATGAACACTATAGTCACCAGAACCACTACAGCGTAATGTGGTTGTTCTGATGTCTATAGCCTGTCCCTGGAAGCTCTTCAATGTAAACCCTGCCTTTTTAGAGAAAAGGGAGACCTTCTTTTGGATCAACAGCAAAAAAACAAATACGAGGAAGGCTGAACTTGTCTCTTTTTAGCCTATGTAACTATATCTAACCTAAACAGCCATGCTAGGACTATAGTGTCAGGATTACATGTTTGTGTGTTGTGTATAGTGTTTCTTTACGTATAAAAAAGCACCGCTAATAACTTGCTTTAACTTCTCTATCAGAATGTGACAATTTGTTTTTAGGCTGTTAAACTCCCAAATAAGCTGCGTGCCAGGAACGGCATGTCCCAGGAGTCGGGTTATACAAAGTCCACATCCCTCATGCTATTGCCTGCATACAGAAGAACATGAACAGCAGAGAGATTATGATGTCTCTTAAATGTTTGTATATAACATAATATGATCTTTTTTGAAACTCATTTACAATTTATCTTAAATCACAAATTCTCCATTAACATCTTGACAAACACATACTTTACAAATCACGTTTTCTTTTTAATAATAATATCATACCATATATATGAAATATGGGATGCATAGCTAGAACATACATGCAGAGATACCTTTTTGTCACATACAGTAGATGTATAAATAACACATAATAAAACATGCTCAAATATGCTGCTAAGGGATACTCTTAGCACCCTATCCATTACAGAGCACTGCCGTGGTTAGGGTGCCAGGAATCTCCTGGTAACATCTGACAGTAATCTGTTAAACCATTAAAAACAGACTGGAATTATCTACCCATGATGGTTGCCTTGCCCGTGCTGCTTGTAGTCTGAGTTTATATGGTAAAGCAGAAATTCATACATTACCATACCACGTCATGCCAAGTTTACACATTATTCATTGCCTGAGAGACATCAGCTCGTGCTTTTGCCCCCATGAATAGCTGTAGGTCTCTCCTCCCTTCAGTCTCCAGCAGCCTGCGCATACCAGTCTCATCCCTACTAGCGCTCTGATTGGCTGTAGATCTTAAGATGACATCAGAGGGTTAGCCCTAGTCACCCAGAGCTTAATAGTCCTAGACTTTAAGCTCCATCCACCATATTGCGCTGGAGAGCAGTCCTTCTGCCAACTCTTCCTTGGTTAATATAGTCAGATCTTGCATATATTTTAATGAACAATTAACCTGCAAGTCTCTTTTCCAGTCAGGAAATGCAGCCTGCGGGAATTGTTTTGGGTGATATTGCTGGTCAAATTCAGAGCTAAGCATTCTCATGTTGGACTATACTTAGGCCATTTTTTATATTAATATTAGTTCTGCAAAGTCTTTTGCAGAATTAATGTATAAATTAATTTAGTACTTACCCTTTAAATGATATAATTGCATTTATATATTGTCTCCAATCTTAATTAATTTTATTTTATATTGTTTTGTATTACTTTATCGAATTTTTTATGAACCCAAGTATATTTAAATGCATAAGTAATATAAATTATATTTTAGTGAAACTAGTTAAGATTAACCCTTTAAATAATGAGTATAAAAATAAGATCTTGCAAAAAATGTGTATTTATTTAGTACTCGTATTTTTAGATAAGTACTTTGGTAAGTTAAAATAAATATGTGAGATTAAATATTATCTTGTATAATCATATTTTTGGGTATTTCATAAATGTCTACTATTCTTTGTTTCCCATATCTCCATGCATTATAATGGGATTTTGCAACATTTTGAGACACTGCTCAATACATTTGTGAAATGTAGCCATTTTAGGCTTCTTGATACAAACTAATTACTTCATTGGGGCAAAAGGATAAACAAACTAAGATCGTATTGAATAGTAAATGGATCTTCATGATGATCAACCAGTTGCTTTAGTGCTATGCCCCTAGGAGGAGTCTTCCTTATCCTCCCTAGAAAAGGGAAGAGTTGAACATCCAAGCACCCAAGAGTGGTACGTGAGATATTTCATGCTAATTGGCCAGAGAAGGGTATCCACATAGTTCATCAGGTAATAAATACAGCATTATTGAGAGCTAATGGCAAACTAATTGGGAAAGCTTCATGACAAAAGCAAAATGCGTCTCAGAAGGGACTGCTGGATATCTTATTTGTTTTTAAATTGTTTTAATAAATTGTTTCACATCTTCCTCAACTTTCATCTGGCTACTCTGTTGTTGTGCCACCACTTGCAGTCCCATATTGGTACAGTGCCAACATACAACTGAACCAGGATTATTAGGCTCTGTATCTAGTAAGTGCTATAAATGTACACCCAAGATTATTCTCTCTTGCAATATTGCCCTATGTGCATTTTTACTCTTCAATGCTTACCAAATTCCACATGGTGAGGATTGAGAGTTACATTGATAAGAAGAACATTGAAAGAACATTAAAACGTCTACTAAATGGCTCCTTTTATTTGAATGTATTATTATAACTTTTTACAACACCATTGAGTTTGAAATACTACACTATATTTGTATTTTTATCTTTTGATTTTTTTTATCTATTAAACACATAAGAAGAAAATATATCTTAACAACTTACAAACATTTCACAGTGCTGTCCACTTTATTGATTTCCACTTGTTAAAATGACATTTTGCTTTAGCTCCATAAAAAAAAGACAAAGATCACGATCCCCATAGGAAAAAGTAGCCCCTTCCCGGCCTGACTACCTAACACATGCTATTTGTGATTCAAGGTAAAGGTTTTAAAGCCTCCAATGAGATAATGAAAAATAAAGGCTTACCGTCCGATCCTCTAGATACATTGTTTTTGAGAGAAAGTCTATTCCAATTGTAGCCTAGACAAGGGAGTAAAAGAAACAAACAAACAAACAGAAATAGTATATTACATGCTTGCCATAGTTTGATACATTTAGCATTTCTGAATTATTACATTATTTAATATTTGGTAGAAATTATACCCATTTTGCTATTGCCTTATAAATAACTGATGTATGGTTATTTTGGTAATACATAGACACATAGACTATGTAATATTCTACAAGTTTGTCATTACTATAATTTATATAAATACATATTTGATTTCTTCAAAATATATACATGACACGAGTTTGGTAAAATATATTTCAATAACAAAACTAGTTTGCTAACCCATACGTCTGCTGTTGTATTACAATCTATAGTGCTATAAATTCTGCACAGCACCTTTACCAGTCTTCTAAGATAAGAGCGCTCCATTGCACTGTAAAAGACTAGTGCCAAAACACTAAGCCATTTACGGTGAGCAGTTGCTTAGTGTATGACAAATACATATATTCCTGACCAAGAAGTTAAAGGGACACTATAGTTACCAGAAACACTACAGCTTAATGTAGTGGTTCTGGTAGCCATAGCATGTCCCTGCAGGCATTTTTTTGTAAGCACTGCCTTTTCATGAAAAGGCAGTGTTTATATTGCTGCCTAGGGACACCTCTAGTGGAGGTTACTCAGACGGCCACTAGAGGTGCTTCCTAGTCCAGTGCTGCACAGAGTGCAGCACCTATGTTCTGTGTCTCCACTCTCTGCATGGAAGTGCTGTATGTTCCCCATAGAGATGAATTAATTAAATGCATCTCTATGAGGAGATGCTGGTGTTTTGCCGTGCATACACTATTGCCTCTAAATGCTATCCTATGGGAAAGTATTTAATTGGCTGAGATCATCAAGAGGGGCCACCTGCGGCGAGATCAATGCAGTGTCGGAGAAAATATGAGTATAATCACCTTTTCAGTATGATCTGAGCAGGGCCACTCATTTAAAATGCTACATCAGAACTATGGTGTCAGGCATACATACATACATTTGTATTCCTAACAAAAATATTAAGAAGTGCTAGATACATTGACACAGATAGATACAGAATATTCATAGCAAAGCTTAATTTGACAAATTTAAACAAACAAACAGTATATTTTTGAGAAACGTGCCCAAGTGTAAGATCTAGAAATGAGGCCAACGTGTTCTCAACTGAGAACTGTTTACTTGGGAACCTAACCCCTAATTCGTTCTTACAGTCCCTGTGTGCGACATGCATGCTTACCTGATATGTGTTGTCAAAACTGTCATACATAAACCTAGTGATGAGGGAAGTCTTTCCAACTGCAAAAAAAATACATATAGTAAATATATACATGTTGCAACGCATGCATATTCTCAACTCAATCCTTAGAAAATATAGGGCTTAATTTATCTCATTAATTAAAATTTAGATTCATGGCTGCACGGTGTGCTAGGTGTGCTAGGACTCATTGATCTTTGATTACCTTCTTTTCTATTTGTTATAAATACTACATAGCAGCACTCTTCATGTTCTACCCAACAGCATGGACGTCATATTGATACAGGAATCATGATGGATCTGCCAACCCCAGTCCAACCAGTAATTATTCGCAACTGATGTTTCTACCAGATTATCAGCATACTGCTAGCCTATTGCATAGATTTCTCTTAAATAAAGAAATTCAGACACTCCCATCACAAACTGCTGCAGAAAAAAAGAGAATTCTACTGCATTTCTTTGTGTGTATAGACAAACATTAGAGGTATAATGTAAATGAATTTTAGACAATGCAAATACCTTCCAACACGTAATAGATTGGGACAGGTAGGCGAACCTGAGGGGATGTCACTAGTGATGTGACGCACGCACCGGTTACACCCATAATGGGGCAGCTAGAAAAAGGGACAGGCCTGCCCAATGAAGGGGTATGTCTTGCCCGTACCTAAACTACAAGACCTGGTATTGAGTGCTGTTGCACCCGTCACCTACCAATGCCATTACACTTTGCTGCCCAAGGAAAGTAATGGAACACCAGGGAACTAAAACGTTGCTGTCATCCTCATATCAGTAATGAGTATTACACAGAGATTGCATCTTTACTAAATACTCAGATTTTCTGTGTTAGAATTTTTACTGAGTAAACCACTGACGTCAGCTCCTGGCCACTGGAGTGCCAGAAGGGGATGGCAGTGCCCACTAGTGACAGATTCAGGTACATATATCTCACCCCTGCCCACTCAGTGACTGAATCACCTATGGAGATGTCAGGATCAGGAAACTTTGGAAACTATGCAATAGACCCAGATGGTGACAGAGTCGATTGAGGCCTCAATTTAATACGTTTTTCAATTATTTCAATACTGTTAGAAATCTTTCCAAGTGATTTATCCACAGAATTCCCCATTAAAGTCTTTGGCAATTATTGTAGATATATCATTTGGAATTTTTTCTAACGGTATTGAATCATTTGAACAGTTTATTATGACGATGCCTAAATTAAGACAGTGGGAGAGGACCCCAAAATCCCAACTGTTGTCAGAGGCTGGATAAACTTTTCAAATTATTTAATAGTTTTTAAAAGGATTCACATTTTATACTTGTATTTTTTTTTTTAAGTATTGATGTGTTTGATGTGTTTTTTTTATATATGATACGTATTTGACATTTTAATAATTTGAGAAAAATATAATAATTTTAAAAGTTTATCCAAAATTATTAAACTGAACTCTTTGTTTGACTGAAATAGTTTCAGTCAAAAAATGGGTCGCAAGAGAATACTGAGAACGGGCAGCAGCTGAAATAGCCTGCCCTTCGGTCGGTCCCCGCTCAGTTCTCAAGCTGATTTTTGCTCATCTTGTGCCATTACAGAGAGAACATATCTGAAGCACATCAGACTGGTCCCACCCATACGGGCAGTCCAGATCCGAAATGCCAGCAAGTTCTCTCTGCACGAGAGATACAGCAACCCCAGACGATCGTTTCAGCCTTGTTAGGCATCATCAGTGAGGCATAGCTGATATCTCCCTAGGCACCGTGAGCAAGGGGTCCACGTCTGGATTATCCTTTTAAACTTGTGGAGAGTCAAAAAATGGGTCGCAAGAGAATACTGAGAACGGGCAGCAGCTGAAATAGCCTGCCCTTCGGTCGGTCCCCGCTCAGTTCTCAAGCTGATTTTTGCTCATCTTGTGCCATTACAGAGAGAACATATCTGAAGCATATCAGACTGGTCCCACCCATACGGGCAGTCCAGATCCGAAATGCCAGCAAGTTCTCTCTGCACGAGAGATACAGCAACCCCAGACGATCGTTTCAGCCTTGTTAGGCATCATCAGTGAGGCATAGCTGATATCTCCCTAGTATTTTTCCTACACATGACACTTCTAGGCAGTGGGTGGAGCTACCACCATCTAGAAGTGTCAATTGCCCAGCCAATAATAGCTGCAGGAAATTGGCCCTATCTATTGAGGATCCTGCAGTCTTGCGGGATTCTCCATAGTACTGAATGATGTAATCACCCCAGATGGTAACACTTTAAAAGAACTGTAGACACTGTAATTGCATTATCTTATTGAAGTGGTTATGGTGTCTGGACTCCCGTGACACCCTACTTCCATTTAGTGTTAAACCATTTTTTAATGTTTTAATGCTAAACGAGAGTCCTCAACACAACATCATCTCTGTGCTGCTTTGGCTAAACAGGAAGTATTAGCCTGAAAAGAGATGGGTGGCTATGACTGAGAGTGTCAGCTGATTGCATTCAGCCTATCCCAGCACCCACTACAGGTATGAATTGGTATGGATAGAAGTAAGTATGCAATCTCTATCTTAGCCATACCTCTAGTAAGGAGCCTGGCTGTGGGTGGCTAGGGACACTTATTCAGTTTTAAACTGCTAAAAAAAAAAATAATAGTGGATAGAGGGGACTTTGATCAATTAAATTAGATACAAGTATAGTGCCTACAGTGTCCCTTTAACAGCAAAGTATGATTCCAACTTTGGTCTCAATTTAATATTCTTGGGTAAACTTTGAAATTAATTTATCATGATGAAACATAATAATTTTAGAATATATTTTATATATTGATTTATATACATATACATATATATATATATTATTATTATTATTATTATTTATTTATTTATTTTAATATTTTAATATTTTGAGTTTATCAAAAAATATTAGATAATTTGAAAAGCTTATCCAGCAATATTAAATTGAAGCAACAGTGTGAGACCTGATCTCAATAATAATCTTGCAGCTGATTAGAAGCAAATCCAGCAGTACCATTCCAACATCTACTGAAATCATAACCAGTTGTTTGGATGTTCTAGAGGCCATATTCATCTCATCCCCAAATTCTATGATTTTGGGATGATATGTTCACATATAGGATTGTGTATTATGGTAAATTTAAACCTTTTATCTTAATGTTTACTGTAATAATAGATATCTTTTAAATTAGTTGATTTCATTTTTTCTTCATTACTGTCATAGGATTTTGTTCTTCAACAGCTGGAATACCAGTGATACACACAGATTTACACATACACACAATGACACATGTATGCACACACATTCTCCCTTATATCCATGTCCTTGTATAGTACTAACATATTAGTCAGTGTCTGTTAATCCAGACTGCCTGATATTGATGAGCTAATGATTCATTCTACCAACTGCAGCCTCAGTTCACGACCGATGTCATAAATTATATCTCTATCCCCTGATATGCTGGGAGAGTCACAGGGGAGAGACACTAACATAAAAAACCTAAAATTTTCCTTATTCTTTTGTTATATTTAATATATTTTTTTGTCTTTCTAAAACACACTACTGCTTATAACAGCTGTGCTGAGAATCTATTCCATGGATCAACCACTCCTCTCAATGTGATATTTAATGCAACACGTCTTCTTGCCTTTCAGACTGCAAAGAGATCTCCCCATCAATGCTTTTATAAAATGGTTTCTGCAGCAACCTAAGCTGACCAAGGGGCCTGTTAAATGTTCCTCTCCATTATATAGTATCATAGCAACAAAGACAGAAGGGACTTTTCAGTCTACATTGAAATTTTCCCTAGAGACTTTGAAGGAAAAAAAAAAAAAACTTTTATTAATTGCCAGGGCCAAGCAAATATATTGATGCACAATGGGCAGAATCTAAAGGCCATTTATTTAAAAGAGGTAAATAACCCTCAATATGCAAGCAGATATAATGTTATGTTATATCAAGGAGGAGGCGCCTCACCTCAAAACAGCCAGCGCGCATAATGTAATTAGAAACACAAGAGAAATGGATTCTGTAAAGGTTTCAAGGACATGTAAACAATATTTTCACCACAGGGTGGTGCTGTTAAAAAAAATAATATATATATATTAAAATGTGTTTACTTCCTTTCATCCATATTCCAGTACATTTACTAGCTTATCAATACCACTGTCATGCCAAAGCATGAGTTGGTATTTGATATATGTTATGATTTGTTTTTGTAAACCTTGGGATAACATTTATTGCGGGCTTTGATCTTACACCAGGACTAAGCCATAAAACTACTAGATGACCATCGCCAGAGCTGGACATAGGGCATTGTAAAAGGTATTGGTGCGTATGCTCTGACTCTGGGTTCTTCAAAGGACAACATAATTTAAGAAAATATGGAGTGGGCAATAAACTGCCAGGCTAAACCCCATTGATCCACCCAGGGGTCTGCCCACTGAGAAACAACTAGTTTTAAGGTACATAATGAGGATCTTGGACTATCCTGAGGGTGATTTATTTTTTCAACAACTACCTGGAGACCTGTAACATATGAATCTCCCACAAAAAAGTAGCTATAACGGGTAAATATATGTGAGGGATTTCTTGTGTTTTCTCCTATTTTATTTTATGGACTGTTTTGCAATTTGCTATCTGTGTTTCTGTATGTAATTTAGCGCTGTGAATCCTTTTTGTCAGATTAAATGTTTCCTTAATCAGCTTGTGTTTTTGTTCTCTATGAGCTCACTCTCCTGAGGAAGGCTCAGGTCAACACGTTACCAAAAGGGTTGATTATATAGGTCTGATCAGTAAAGTAAGGTTGTGATACGGTAATTCTACTGTGTGTTGGGTAACCGAAGACGCCCGGATAAAAAGTCTTGGTGGTGGCAGTAAAGTGTGTACTAGGGTGTTAGTGTAGAAGACATTGCAGGGGTTAATTTAGTGGTTGCTGGGGCTACCAACAGGTAATCAGGGGTCTGGTGTCATTAACCCTTTACCCATAGTGCTCTAGAGCAGCCCATGTACACCGATCTTGCTATCTTTCTCAATTCCAACTCTCACATTGATCCTCTTCAATCAGGTTTCCACTCTCTTCAGACTACTAAAGTGATCAATGATTTGCACACTGCTATATCCAAAGGTCACTATTAGCTCTTAATTCTCCTTGACCTGTTTGTTGTGTTTGACACTGTTAATTACAAGCTCCTTCTTCTAAGCCTAGAAGACCTTGGCCTCCATGATTCTGTCTTTTCTTAGTTTTCTTCTTAGCTCCATCAATGCTCAGAGTAACATTTTCTAGCACTACATCCTCCCCACTACTAGCCAGAGGCTTGGCTCTTGCCCCCCTTTTGTTTCCTCTTTACATTGCATACCTTGGTAACCTTATTAACGTCTTTGGTTTCCAGTATCACCGGTATGCTGACCACACTCAGATCTACCTCTACTCCGTGGTTCATTCTCCTAACCTCCTGGAAAATGTCACCAACTGCCTCACTGCTAGCATTAACTGGATGTTTTCTCTATTTATAAAACTTTCAGTGTTATTCGCTAAAATGAGAATTCAATGTGAATTCCAAATTCAAGGTAAAAATGGACGAACTGGAAAAATTATAGTTTTAGTTCTGCTATTTTGGCCTAAAAATTGAAACTTACCCTGAATTGAATGTGAATTCTCACTTTAGTTAATAACCCTGGATATCTTTCCTAAACTGAATTTCTTATCCTTCCTCGTTCAAATACCCCTCCTTCTGTGTCTATTTCCCTTCAGGTCATGGAAACACCTATTTACCCAAACACCCAAATGTACCAGTCTTGGTGTCACTTTCGACTCTGGCCTCAAGTGAAGACTTGACAAAGACACAGGATAGAGCTGAAACATTGTCTTTTTCTCTAAAACTCCAAATAAAAGACTACCTGTTAATAGGAAACCATTTGTGCCCAGATGTATGTATTTGTTCCAGTTGGATTGATTGGGAGCTGGCCCTCCTGGTTTGGAGCATCCCAATGTGTGTGTGCATTGTCTCTTACACTCTGCAATTCAAGCTACTGACATTAACATACAGAGTCTTTAACAACTCTTTCTCCATTAAATTTCCTCTCAAATCGACAAATATTCCCTTTGCCCTGCCAATGACCTTCTCTTGTCCTCTATTTTCATTTACTTGTGTTCTTCTTTCCATAAATCTTAGATTATGAGATCATTTGAGCAGGGCCTCTGGTAACACCACTTCATATGTAAGTACTTGTTTTATATCCCCAATGTATTACTGTAAAGTGGCGAGCGCTGAGGAATATGGGGGCGCTATATAAATTGTAATAATAATCAGAGTGCCACTTTTATGTTGCACTATGAGCTCCCCACTGCTACATGTTTGCAGTTTGCCCTTCTGTGGGATTCTTTTGACTGACTGATTCTGGGTAAATTAGCTTAGCTGCTAAGATTTTACTTTTGCTGAAGCTCTGTCCATTGCCACAGATCACGCTGCTCATAAGAAAAAAGTAGTCTCTACTTTATCTTATGTATAACTAAAACCCTAAAGAGAATCAGAAAAAATAAAACCACTGAGAAATAGAGGGACAAAAAATAATTTAAATGCAAAACCTGCAAAGTAACAGAGCAATGAGGTCTATGGTGAATCCCGCAATTTCAGTGAAATTCCAAAAATCAATCTGAGTATTTCATAAATAGTCTATCTTTTTTAATTACTTTTTGGGGGGAGTGTGGGGGGTGCCACTTTAACATCAACAAGTCAATTTCAATGTTTAGACCAAAGTAGTTAAACTGGAAGCATGGCTAACTTAAAGGAACACTATAGTAACCTAAATTACTTTAGCTAAATAAAGCAGTTTTAGTGTATAGATCATTCCCCTGCAATTTCACTGCTCAATTCACTTTCATTTTGGAGTTAAATAACTTTGTTTCTGTTTATACAGCCCTAGCCACACCTCCCCTGGCTATGATTGACAGAGCCTACATGAAAAAAAAACTGGTTTAACTTTCAAAAAGATGTAATTTACCTTAAATAATTGTTGTATCTCAATCTCTAAATTTAACTTTAATCACAAACAGGAGGCTCTTGCAGGGTCTAGCAAGCTATTACCATAGGGGGGGATAAGAAAATCTTAATTAAACAGAACTTGCAATAAAGAAAGCCTAAATAGGGCTCTCTTTACAGGAAGTGTTTATGGAAGGCTATGCAAGTCACATGCAGGGAGGTGTGACTAGGGTTCATAAACAAAGGGATTTAACTCCTAAATGGCAGGGCATGTTCTATACACCAAAACTGCTTCATTAAGCTAAAGTTGTTCAGGTGACTATAGTGTCCCTTTAAAATAATTTTTCCACTCTGGCTATTTTGGCCTCAACTTTGAAATTCACCTTAAATTCTCACTTTAGTGAATAATCCTGTCTATTTTTAGTTAAACCTATACTGTAATGTGCAAAGGTTATTTACATGTGGTGTACAGAAGCTAAATTAAGAAAGAAAGAAAAATCCCAACTGCACCAACGATCATTTTAGTTGCATGTCATTCGAACGGCAAGTAACATGGCATTGAGCTGCAGATATTCCATTCATCTTTTATAGCCAGCAACTCACGACGATCCCTTTATGTCTGGAAGATGTGTTTATCTGTTTACTGAACCAGCTCACCCCTCTAATCTTCTAGATTGTTCTCTGGAACACTAGAATATCCTCCAAAAACACAACACACAAGAACTCCCATTGAGTCTGTCTTGTTCTGGCCTTCTTGTGATGGGCGGAGTGAACCTCCATTCTGGTCAGGTTACTTGTTTTGACTGTGACAAAGACAAAATAAACCCAAATATATATATACAGTATCTCACAAAAGTGAGTACACCCCTCACATTTTCGTAAATATTTTATTATATCTTTTCATGTGTCACTCTGCTACAATGTAAAGTAGTAAGTGTACAGCCTGTATAACAGTGTAACTTTGCTGTCCCCTCAAATTAACTCAACACACAGCCATTAATGTCTAAACCGTTGGCAACAAAAGTGAGTACACCCCTAAGTGGAACTGTCCAAACTGGGCCCAAAGTGTCAATATTTTGTGTGGCCACCATTATTTCCCAGCACTGCCTTAACCCTTATGGGCATGGAATTCACCAGAGCTTCACACGTTGCCACTCGAGTCCTCTTCCACTCCTCCATGACAACATCACGGAGCTGGTGGATGTTAGAGACCTTGTGCTCCCCCACTTTCCGCTTGAGGATCCCCCACAGATGCTCAATAGGGTTTAGGTTTGGAGGCATGCTTGGCCAGTCCATCACCTTTACTGTCAGCTTATTTAGCAAGGCAGTGGTCGTCGTGGAGGTGTGTTTGGGGTCATTTTGTTCTCCAAAGACAGGGGATCTTGCTCTGCTTCAGTATGTCACAGTACATGTTGGCATTCATGGTTCCCTCAATGAACTGTAGCTCTCCAGTGCCAGCAGCACTCATGCAGGCCCAGACCATGACACTCCAACCACCATGCTTGACTGTAGGCAACACACACTTGTCTTTGTACTCATCACCTGCCACTCATCGCCGCCACACATGCTTGACACCATCTGAACCAAATAAGTAATCGCACCACAGGACATGGTCCCAGTAATCCATGTCCTTAGTCTGCTTGTCTTCAGCAAACTGTTTGCTGGCTTTCTTGTGCATCATCTTTAGAAGCGGCTTCCTTTTGGGAAGACAGCCATGCAGACCAATTTGAAGTGGTGTGAGCCCTATGGCCTGAGCACTGACAGGCTGACCCCTCACCCCTTCAACCTCTGCAGCAATGCTGGCAGCAATGATACATCTATTTCCCAAAGATAACCTCTGGATATGACGCTGAGCACATCCCCTCAACTTCTTTGGCCGACCATGGCAAGGCCTGTTCTAGTGAATCTGTCCTGTGAAACCACTGTATGGTCTTGCTCACCATGCAACAGCTCAGTTTCAGGGTCTTGGCAATCTTCTTATAGCCAAGGCCATCTTTATGTAGAGCAACAATTCTTTTTTTCAGATCCTCAGAGAGTTCATTGCCATGAGGTACCATGTTGAACTTCCAGTGACCAGTTTGAGAGTGTGTGGGGAGGGAAGGGAAGGGAAAATGGCTAATTGGATCCAATTTGGACATTTCCACTTAGGAGTATACTCACTTTTGTTGCCAACGGTTTAGACATTAATGGCTGTATGTTGGGTTATTTTAAGGGGACAGAGTGTAATTTCTTCAGTGTTGACACATGAAAACATATAATGAAATATTTACAAAAATGTGAGGGTGTATTCACTTTTGTGAAATACTGTATATTTATTTATATATATATATATATATATATATATATATATTTTATTTATTTTTTTTATTTTTTTATTTTTATTTAATTTTTTTTTATTTATTTTTTTACTAACCATGATCCTGCATTAATCTTCCCAATCTCTGTCCATTCCATTCTATTTAAAAAAAAAATAAGTTATGGACAGCATTTGAGCAGTTATGTGTTTCTTCATCTTGAGACCACCACCATGTGTTGTTTTATACAGTGGGCACAAAGAGTGCATGTAACCTTTTTTCCAGGCACAGAGGTCTCTTCGTTTGCCGAATGCTTTTAAGATGATTTGCACTGGTTTAAATTTATCTCCCGAAAGGTCTAACCTTTGCAGTGAGATGCTTTATTGCAATCCATTACTGCAGACTTGAATGACGGGGAGAATATGACACATCCTATTGTATTCTCAACGACAAGGGAAGTCCAGTCTGACATTCTACTGGATGTCTTAGCATCTTGCTGCCCCAGGGCTTATTCTACTTCCTATTTAGTTCCAGTTCTCTGGAGACACACATTATGTGTTAATATATATTCTCTGTGCTGTCTGTGTTGTGTCTGTTTTGCAAGACTTTCAAATGGCTTCATGCTGTGCATTACTATGGATCCTTTGCGAGGCACAGTGACAAAGTAATAGCGTGTTCACTCTAAACTTCTACTGTAAGCAATTCAGCAATGAAAGAGTTCAGAGAGAAATCTTTAGGCAACCAATCTCAACACGCCATCAAATAGTAAGAGGCACTTGGTGCAAATTGATAGGCTAGTCATAATATTGATTCCTAGCTTAACAGTTTCAATGCTGGACTGCCGGGTGAGGATAGTCCCTGTTTAATGCTTTAGGAGAGTTGGCTTCTTTTTTGAGTAAAAGTCTCTCGCAATTAAATCCAGACAAGAAGAAGTCATTAGGATTCTTCTCGAAGATCCTGTGTCCTTCAATGAACCGCCCGTGCCTTGTTTACAGGCAAAAGTGATCACAGCAAAGCTGATCTAGCAAAACCCCTTTCATCTTTCACCCAGAGTGAATGACAGTTTTGCTATCAAAAACATAACTACTGTCTGCTGGAACATCCTACTTGTCATAAAAGAGAGCTGTGCTTGACAATACTATTATTCCGTCACAATTGTATTTTTTGATTTCAGATTTCTTATTAAATCACCACCTACTAACACTTATGAATAAACATAGGAATATTGAGTAAAAAATAAATAAAAATGGGTTTTGATAATAATAATCAGAGGCAGGGCAAGGACCCAATAATCTTCTGTTTCATCCTTAGCAGCCCCATCAGCAATCAAACATATTGAAGACCCAAGAAGCAAATAATAGGAATGTTACATTTCATTGTGGCCCAGAACATTTCTGGCCATAGCTATCAATAGTCATCTTGAGCATCAGTGCTTTAGCAAAGCAGGCGTGCCAAAAGAAAGTGCAATATAGTGTGCTAAAATTAACATGCCAAAAGAATTCAAAGTAAAAAACATATAAACTCCCACTTTGCATATACATAGTCAGCGAGATTTGGGGCCAAACCAAATGTACCACTCATTCCCTTTGCCCCTCCTGCCTTTAGTGGCAGACAACACTAAAAGTTAAATGGAATGGAACAGACAGGAACAAAGTGATAATAATTTGAAAGATATTACCTATATCAATATAACTCAAATAATAATTAAGTATTGATTGTAAGGAAATAAGATTTGTACACTTTAAGATTAAACACACAGTGTAACGGCAGATAAAAATAGCCTGACTGGATTCTTCTTTGGTTTAATTTTATGTTGTAAAATGTAAGTTTCTAGACTTTAAAAATGTATTCTTATGTATTTAGCATTATTGTATCACTATTATGAACCTTTCTTGATGAGTATGTTGCATCTCTGCTATGAATCTGTTACAATATATAACAAATAGTTTAGAATATTAAAAGGTTGAAGGTTAAATTCCACCTACCCTTAGAGTGACGCAGTGTGGGCTTAATTGACTAGGTAACACTGGGTCGATAACAGAAGCAGACGTAGGACAGTGAATGTGTGGTGATTTAGAACATCTTCAATTATTTCAAAATTAGGACCCTTCTCTGCTTTGTGTCTGAAATATCCCTATTTTCTCAACTATTGTGTTTATAAAACTGCATTAGAATTTGATGCTTTTTAAACTAGCATGCATTTTACTGTCCCGCACCTGACAGGGCCCAATCCTGCCACCCCAGTTTGTTTGTTTTTTGATGTCTCGTTTCAACAGATGCCAGCGAATGTGCAGTGCAAATGCATCATTAAACGTGTTCACACTGCAGTAATTTAGCAGCAGTCTGCTTGCAGGCAGTCTTGGACGAGACAGTCAAAACAAGCACATTTAAAGGACCACTATAGTGCCAGGAAAACGAGTTTTTCTGGCACTATAGTGCCCTGAGGGTGCCCCCACCCTCAGGGTCCCACTCCCGCCGGGCTAAGGGGGAGGAAGGGGTTAAACTTACCTCTTTCTCCAATGCCGGGCGGGGAGCTCTCCTCCTCCTCTCCGCCTCCTCTCCTCATCTTCGGCTGAATGCGCATGCGTGGCAGGAGCCGCGCGCACATTCAGCCAATCCATAGGAAAGCATTCACAATGCTTTCCTATGGACGCTGGCGTCTTCTCACTGTGAAAATCACAGTGAGAAGCGCGGAAGCGCCTCTAGCGGCTGTCAATGAGACAGCCACTAGAGGCTGTATTAACCCATTTATAAACATAGCAGTTTCTATGAAACTGCTATGTTTATAGAAAAAAGGGTTAAACCTAGCTGGACCATCCACCCAGACCACCTCATTAAGCTGAAGTGGTCGGGGTGCCTATAGTTGTCCTTTAAGTGTACAGAGAGATAAGGATGTGAGTACCCTGCAAACTAAGCTTGCAGTCTAAGGGAAGTGAGGTATAATTACATAAAGGTTAAAACTCAATGAACTCATATTGAATGGGCATATTATATTTTTCTAAAGGAGCAGAATATTGAGGAGTTTATAAGATTTGAGTTTAATCAACAGACCACAAGCGCATCTAATGATTCACTCGCGCTATGCGCATTGACATCAGTTTCCCCCCATATAACCTGCGATGGTGGGACAGGAGCCCAAATTCTAGATGATATTACCCACGACAGTTCCAGGGTCTGTTCAAACATATATTTTGTGGTATATTAATGGCTACCAGTAGGGCATTAAGTCTCCTAAGTTTTCCCAGAATAGCCCTAACCTTGGCCATACCATATGAACTGATATAGTCTTTCTTTCATCATTAGAATTGTTGGGAGACATGGTTTAGGTTACTTTTATTCAGAGATGTAAAATATTTTCACACAGAATCCAAAGTCACTTTAAGGGATGAAAAAGTGTGAAATGTTATGAGAGTGACAGGTAAGGAAGATATTGTTGATGGAATTAACAGAGATGGACGGTCCTGATGACATGGTGGTAAGATAGTGGAATATAGGTTTGCAGAAGAAAATCCACAAAGCAATGAATGTGTGAACAAAAGTTTTGGTTTAACCTTTGAAAGAGGCACAGCGAGTAATCTTTTGTAAATTGTGGAATTAGAGATTAAAGGGACACTGTAGGCACCCAGACCACTTCAGCTAATTGAAGTGGTCTGGGTGCTGTGACCCTTTTGCACTTAGTGCTGCAATGTTAAACATTACAGTTCCAGAGAATGTTAACATTACAGCTCTAAGTCTGCCCTCTGTGGCTGTCTAACAGGCAGCCACTAGAGGGCTTCCGGAATCCAAATGGACTTTTGGTCCTCAGGGACCTCCAGCGTCAGATTTTCCCCATAGTAAAGCATTGAATAATGCTTTCTTATGGGGAGGTCTAATGGGCGTGCGGCCATTGCTGCGCATGCACATTAGGTCTCCCCCACCAGCTGACGTTGGCGGGGGAGGAGTGTGGACGGAAAGTGAAAATGTGAGTAAGTGTTAGCAATGGCGCAGGCAGCATGCTTGTAGGGTAAGTTTGGTGTTTGATGGTGGAAATATTGACCAAAAGGATGACTGCTAAAGGGGACTGAGCTTGAAGACCACAGCTGGTTTAGCCCTCCAATCAAAATTTTTAACAAAATATATGCGGATCATTAGATCTTTGTTAGATCCAGTTTGAGTTAGATGTAGTATAGAATAACCAATATTAACAATTATTAGCTGGGGGATCTAACATGTCAATAGCCCACCTTAACAAACATGTGGCCAATAAAAGAGATAGTAGGTATTGCATGGGGGGTGGGGAGATAGTCACATAAGCGAAGAATGGTGTACTTAAGTATTGTAGTATTGTATGTATCCGAGTATTGTAGTACTGGTGTATGTATTAATATGTAGGGAAGGAAAGAGGGGCTTAGATATGGTTAATCAATAAAGCAGAAATTGTGAGGAATTGAAAACCTTAGAATAAAAAGTCAAGCTCTAAAAAAATCATCAGCTAGAAATGTTACTATTTAAGATGTTTTTGGCCTAAAGCATACATTTCTCTAGCCAGCTCTTGCCAACGTAAGGTTTCACCAATAATCCTGACTGTAAAAATATAATGTGCAAATTCATGAGCAGATACCCTATTACAAACTGCCCCACAAAGCCAGTTGGTAGTTGGGGTTTAAGAGGGTGGGCCAGTGACACATTACTGGTGCTGCCCAAAGGGTGCCAGGCTGCATGTCAACCGAGTGGGCCATGCAGAGAGCATTGTTTCAGCTCTGTCTGCAGGGTCATAGTGCCCTGAGCATATTGCAAAGGCGACACAACAGGAGCAAAGTTGGAACAGCAGGGTAGGGATGGCTATGAGGACTGCTATAGACTAAGTAGTTAATAGGAAAGTTCCACTATGTTGGATTTTAAGCGTGCAGGCAGTAAGCCTCAAGCCCTGGGATGGAAAATTAATAATTTCTCATCCAAACCAAGGATAAAGCTGAAGGAGCCTCATGCACAAACAATTTTCTCAATATACTAAACTCATCCTCTGCAAAAAAAAACATGTGCCTTAGCTCTACAGCCCTTACCTAAAGAGGATGACAAGCTAGTAGTAATATTCAGATCTTCACAGATTTCTGATAACAGAGAAAATTGGTTATTCAATGAAAAAAAAAAATTCCATATTCCCATCTGAGCTGTTTCCTGATTGAAAAGGATATCTCTGAAAGAGGATCGGAGTCTGTTGAATTAAAAAAGGAATCATTCAGAGATGAAATTATATTTTAATGCATTTTCTCAATAATGCATTAGAGATGCAGACTCTGTTCAACCTCAGAGATGCAGACCCTGTTTCCACAGCTCCAATATCACCAATGACAATCATTGTGTGCTATGCATGTTATGAGCACTGTCTCATGTCACCCAGCAGTCACCTCCAGGGACAACACACCTACTCATTATAGTTTAGCAGCTTGGTTATCAAAAATACTGCTGTCCACCAATAAATACCCCAAATATAATTTTTTTGTCTTTTTTTTCTATCCCTGTCTACTGCCACACTCCTGCTGTACTCTGTCAACTGACATCACAACGCACCTCCTGCTATTAATCCACAGTATGTTATGTGAGGGCTTCATTGTCAACCATCCCATGCCTGTTGCATCTTAATAATTAAGCTCTGCCCCTTGCCACCTGATTTTATACAGTCATGGAAAAAAGTTAATACACCCTCTTTGAATTCTGTGGTTTCACATATCAGGACATAAAACAATCATCTGTTCCTTAGCAGGTCTTAAATTGGGTAAATACAACCTCAGATGAACACAAGATATACTAGCCAGTGTCATGATTTATGTAACAAAAATAAAGCCACAATGCAAAAGCCATGTGTGAAAAAGTACAACCTTGCTACTTCCATTGTAATTAAGAGGTTAAGTAGAAGACAGGTGCTGTTGATCAAATGCCCTTGATGTAATCATCAGCAAGTATCACCACCTTTTTAGCCGAAGTTTTAGCAGTTTGCTGGTCTGGGGCATTCAGATGTGTGTCAACACAATGCCAAGGAGGAAAGACATAAGCAATGATCTTAGCGAAGCAATTGTCGCTGCCCATCAAACTGGAAAGGGTTATAAGGACATTCCCAAACAATTTAAAGTCCATCATTCTACTGTTAGAAAGATTATTCAAAAGTGGAAAACATTTAAGACTGTTGCCAATCTTCCCAGAAGTGGACATCCCAGCAAATTCACCCCAAAGTCAGACCGTGCAGTGCTCAGATAAATTGCAAAAAACCCAAGAGTTACATCTTGGACTCTACAGACCTTAATGAGTTTTGTCATGCCTAGGGCAGCACAAACCCAGGATACATCACTGTGTCAAGGGGTGATGATTTGAGCTTGTTTTGCAGTCACAGGACCTGGGAACCTTGCAGTCATTGAGTCGACCATGAACTGCTCTGTATACCAAAGTATTCTAGTGTCAAAAGTGAGGCCGTCTTTCCAACAGCTAACGCTTGGCCAAAAGTAGGTCATGCAACAGGGCGATGATCCCAAGCACAACAGCAATCCACACATAATGGCAGAAAAAGAAAATAATAAAGGTGTTACAATGGCCCAGTCAAAGTCAGACATCAACCTGACTGGAATTCTGTGGCCGGACTTTAAGAGAGCTGTGCATAAACAAATTCCAGAAAACCTCAATGAACTGAAGCAATGGTGTAAAGAAGAGTGGGACAAAATTCCTACACAAGGCTGATCCAATCATTATTAGAAAATTATTACTTCAACGTTATTGATGCTAAAGGTGATTCTGCAAGCTACTGAATCATAAAGTGTACTTACTTTTTTACACATTCTCCATTTTGGTTTAATTTTAGTAAATAAATCATGACACGATGTAATATGTGAGGTTGTTCATGTGTTCATGTGAGGTTGTATTCACCTAATTTTAAGTGCTGCTAAGGTACAGAGGATTGTTATTATGTCCTGATATGTAAAACCATAGAATTCAAAGAGGGTGTACTTTTTTTTTTTTTAATGACTGTACATGCTATTTCATCTTGTTTGTGCCTGATTTCAGAATCTGGGGACCACCATTCTGATCTCCTCCAATAGAGGTGCTTGAAGTTTGCCCTTCTGTGGGCATGCCTCCCAACATTTGGGACAAAAATGGACACTTTAATTATAGGGCTTTGAGTGGGAGGGGGGGATTTTAGGTGATTTACTAATAACAATTTTTTCCAAATATAATGTATTTTGGAATAAGTACAATGTATCTTTTTTTTTATACAAACTGGATTTCTAAACACATTTATTGAATTTACAGCAGTGTTAATTTTATTGATGAAAACTTATATACATCAATTAAATCTGTGTTTTCGGTGACAAAAACTATACTACAGTATAACTAAGTGATTATGGTGAAAGCTATAATGAAAATGGATGACATTTAAGTCAAAAGACGATGGATAAAATTAAATCAAAACTTGTTGTCAAAATTAAAGAGTTACTTCAATCCTTTGGCGGAGGGAGGGGTAGGTGGGGACTTTTCTGTGTAATATACCAGGTATAAAAACTCCCCCTCTCAGTTTTTAGTAAAACCTGGAAAATAAGATATTTACTTACCTGGAATCCAGGGCCATGGCGAAGCTCCCAGCACTGACTTCTACAATCCCTACTGATGTCACAGGGGTAGTCACGCGGTCCAATCACAGACAATATTGCTAGCTCAGACTGCACGCAGAGTTCAAAGTCACGTGTGCTGGTGGTGCCCCTAGGGCACACTTAAAAAGCTCTCAACATGTGCAGTGTTTCAAGCAGATACTGCACATACAGACTCCTACCACCATGACCACTACAAATCACTGAAGTGGTCATGGTAGCTGGAGTAACACTTTTAACACTGTTTCTTTCAAGCAGAAGTGCAACTATAAAATATTAAAGGACCACTATAGTGCCAGGAAAACATACTCGTTTTCCTGGCACTAAGTGCCCTGAGGGTGCCCCCACCCTCAGGGACCCGCTCCCGCCGGGCTCTGGGGAGAGGAAGGAGTTAAAATCTTACCTTTCTCCAGCCCCGGGCGGGGAGCTCTCCTCCTCCTCTCCGCCTCCTCTCCTCTTCGGCTGAGTGCGCATGCACGGCAGGAGCTGCGCGCGCATTCAGCCAGTCTCATAGGAAAGCATTCATAATGCTTTCCTATGGACGCTTGTGTCTTCTCACTGTGATTTAGAGGCTGGATTAACCTATTTAAAAAAACATAGCAGTTTCTCTGAAACTGCTATGTTTATAAAAAAATGGGTTAACCCTAGCTGGGCCTGGCACCCAGACCACTTCATTAATCTGAAGTGGTCTGGGTGCCTAGAGTGGTCCTTTAATAAAAAGAAAAACTGTATTGGCTGCAAAATGCCATTGCACATATTACCTGAACCTGAATTTAGAAAAATCAACAGTTCGCTGTTATTGAATTCACTATATTCAGGTTGAGGTAATATGTGCAATGATATTTTAAAGTGAATGCAGTTATTCCTTTTAGTAACATTTTAGAGTTGCATTTTTGCTTGCAATAATGAAGAATGTTCTATGTAACTTCTTATAATCAATAACACACAATTATAATAACTTGTGTAAGATAATTACAGTTCAATGGCAGCTAAAACACCAAGTACGGAGTCTCTCTTGTCCGGTAAAAACTGGGTAACACAGGAGGTAGGTGAAGCGTCTAAATATTTGGGGATATGTAATTATTATTATTATTATTATTATTATTATTTTATTTATATAGCACCATCATATTCTGTAGCGCTGTACAATGGGGGGACTAACAGACATGTAATTGAAACCAGACAACTGGAGGTACAGGAACAGAGAGGTGGAGGGCCCTGTTCAATGAGCTTACATTCTAGAGGGAGTGGGGTATAGTGACGCAAAGGCTAAAAGTAGGGGTACGAAGTAGGTTGTTAGAAAAGTATTCACTGAGGGCTTAGTAGGTAATTTTTGACAGTTGCAGGAGAGGAGTCATGGGGGGTGGGGGATAAAAACCTGCTAACAGTTTAATTGATATGCTTTCTTGAAGAAGTGAGTTTTCAATGATTTTTTGAATGAGTGGAGAGTGGAGACTGGGTGAAATTCTTACGGAGAAGGGAAGGGAGTTCCACAGATGAGGTGTAGCACTGGAAAAGTCTTGGAGGCGAGCATTAGAGGTGGGAGTACGGACAGAGGATATACGTAGGTCTTTGGTAGAGCGTAGGGGCCTTGACGGGACATACTTGTGTATTAGGGAGGATTTGTAGATTGGAGCAGCATTATGTAGGGACTTCTAAGCAAGCACCAGAATTTTAAATTGAGCCCTATATCTAACTGGAAGCCAATGCAGGGACTGACAGAGCGGGGAGGCATGGGAGGTGCGAGCGGACAGGAAAATGAACCTTGCCACTGCATTCATTATAGATTGCAACGGTGCAATCTGGGAACACGTAAGACCACTGAGAAGAGTATTGAAGTAGTCCAGGCGAGAGAGAACAAGAGCATGGACCAGCACCTTAGCCGTATGGACCAGCACCTTAGCCTGGGTTTAATAGGGGCGGATGCGCGCTATGTTTTTGAGATGGAAGCGACAGGATTTGGTGATTGATTGGACATGAAGGGTGAAGGAGAGGTTGGAGTTAAAAAGAACACCCAGGCAGTGAGTCTGCGAGGTAGAGGTGATGGTAACGCCGTTGACTTGGAGGTAGACAGACATGGGAGTAGTAACACTTGAGGGAGTAAAGACCAGAAGTTCTGTTTTGGACATGTTGAGTTCAAGGAAGTGAGCAGTCATCCATGACAAGAATAAAAAAAAAAACAGAAGAAACTAAAAGTGTTGTATGTAAAACATAAGTTTGTAAACTATTCTGTTTCCTGAAGTCTGATCCAGATCTTGTGAGAGGACCACCAGAGCAGATAAAGGTAAAGTGATCAATATGCTTGGACACTGAAAAATCATTTCAGTTAAAGGGATCCTCCAAACACCTAAACAACTTTAGCTTCCTGGAGTGATTTATGGGTGAAGAATGTGTCCCCTTTTTTCATGTTACAAAAAGTGCAGATTACAATAGAAAATTGCACTTTTATAAATTAACCTTGTTACACCCCCTGACTGTCAATCAGACAACTGGTCCTATTAATTCCTGGTAGTTTAGCTCAGTGGATCTAAACTCAAAAGGCTGGCAATGCCCAGAGCACATGCCATGTAAAGACTTCTCAATTAGCTGCATTTGGAAATCTATGATTGGACAGCAAGAAAACGAGTGGGCTGGGGAAGGAGAGGAGGACTTCAAAGAGAGATATCTGCAGTTTTTGCAAGCTGTGTTTGGAGATACACTCAATGCAAAAATGCATAATTTAATTCATGCATATTTTCATTGAAAATAGTGATGTTATTTGGGAAGTGAATTGTCCCTTTTAGTGGCGCTCATTGCAAAAGATTGCCAGAAATCGCTCTATACATTAAAAAAAAACTAGTCTCTACACAGCTTGGACTGAGTTGTCTCTCTTCTTGGGAGAGAGCCAATCCCCATAGGGTACATGCAGAGGCCACACATCTTCCAATTAGTATAAATGAATGGTGAACTGAGCTATGCAAAACTGATAACAACGGTGGTACGGCTCCTGTCAATTTACAGATCATCTACAATCATCCTATATGATGAGTGGAAGTGCTCATGGGGGATGAAGTACTTATCATACAAACCCTTGCTGGGCATAATGCCTAGTTTAAAAAGGGGACAAATTTGCCTGTGGCTTTCAAATTTTGATTGCCTGGGAATCTATTTTTGCTGCCTTTACATGTTGGGATTGCTGGTCCTGTTCCGGAGCACCTGTGGCCGCTGGGAGTGAGTGCAGTTCCTGTGACCAATTTTGCTATATAGTTTTAAAAGGGGGTAATTCCCCCATGTTATCTCTTTAAGTTGCTGCAGTCCAGCTACAGTTAGTGGTATACCATTTGGTTACCCATAGGAGAAAAAAGAAAAAGAAAAAAAAATCTAATCATGTCTAATGTAACATTGCCACCCGATGCATTCACAATCTTCATTGGGCAGACTAGATGGGCCGAATGGTTCTTATCTGCCGTCACATTCTATGTTTCTATGTTTCATTGTATGCTCTTTGAAATAGGAAACCAGTAAACCCTTAAAAAGTCTCTATAAGGAGAAACTCTATATCAAAAAATGCATTCAACAAATAAAATACACATTTTTTAAAGTTTTAAAAACAAAAAAAACTTCAGAACAGGTTTGTACATGTAAAGATGATGCATTTAGTGCTGGATGGACACTAATTATTAAAGCGGCACGTTCATAGCCGCATCTGTTAACTTTTAACCCCCCTTCTGACTCCACTATATTTTATTGTCCCCCAAGTCAACCCCAAATGCCTCTAGGTCCCCAATTTCACCTTTTTAAAAAAAATTTTTTTTTTTTTTTTTATTGTGCAGGGAGGTACACGTTAGCATCAAATGCCACAAGAGCGTACACAAATACATATATACATATAGGACAGACAGTGGCTTGAGAAGTTGCACATTGTTTGTAAACATATAAACAAGCTTAACATAAGTCTCGATTTCACCTTTTTTATCCCTTTATTTCTTCTTCGGATCTAGGTTCTAGCCCCAAGGCCCGCTATCTTAGTGTTGCCAGATGAAGGACCTACAGGAAACATCATTTGCCCACACTAGCTCATGCTATGAAATTCCCGCGCATGCTATTGTCCGTAATTCAGTCTGGAGCTTCAGCTAGTCTTTCATTCATCATAAAAACAAATGAACTAATGGCAATTACAAAGAATGAAGACCGAATGTCGGTGCACATGTAATCTGTGTGGCTGGGTATGTGTCTGCACATGTAATTTGTGTTCGTGCGTATCTGAGTATTTGTTGCTGTGTAGCGTGTGCAATATGCAAATATAGTGTGTTTAAAGGACTGACTATGTCTATATACATACATTACACATGCAATCACACACATATACACAAACATATCACACTGCAGAGTAGATGTGCGAATACGTACAATAATACAATGCAAACTTACCTTTCAAGAAAGCATCAGCAGGAGATGCTTACTTGAATTGATGGAGCAGCAGCTCCAACTGTGTGACACCAACACTCCATACCTGCTCCATGGGTATATTGGGTAGCAGATTATCCCTATACACACAGCTTTAGTTCATCAAGATAAACAACCTGAAAGCCAAACCAGGGGCAGTAAGAGATCCCCAAACTGTACTTAGTACCCTCCCTATTGGCCTGTTATTAGCAAATGACTACAATTTGGAACAGGAGGAGGAGGGACTATTAACACAAATAAATATTAGCAACAACAAAAAAAGGCCACCGCGCGAAAATGCCACCTGCTAGGCCTAACTCAAGTGCTTCTTAGTCAATTTTATCGGGAATATAAAATAACACTGGGGCATGTCCGTCATGCTCCACGGACACTGTAAACTCATTTTGTAGGATAAGTGTATATAGAAATCTCCAGAAAAAAATAATATATGTGATCAAAGAGACCTCAGATTCTTCCAGGTTCAACTAATCTCAATTCAGAAGTAGCACTTCAGAAGTGTGTGTATATATACATACACCTAATTACTTATGAGAAGTATATACTTCTGAAAATTAGTTCAAAATCATTTAGAGAACAACAAAACAAAACATCGAATTGAAATATTAAGAGAATGAATGGCTCACAAATTCTAGAAACGGAAAGACTCTCTGAATGAATAAACAGCCAAATGGACACGTAATTAGAATAAAAATAATGAATTATTAAATAAATATGAAAAGTGTCATCATCACCTACAAGTCATAACCAGCCAGAACCTTGTCTCCCATTTCCTATGCCAGGGGAATGAGTAAGGTATGTGGAGAAGGTGCCAATGGAGTGACTTGTGTGTGCTGCATATATAACTGGTTTGAGTGGGAGGTGTGTGCATCCTAATGCTTAAAGGAACAATATAGTGTCAGGAATACAAGCACGTGTTCCTGGCACTATAGCTGTGAAACCGCTGTTTAGGTGGCCAGACCCCTTTGAAAAAGGGTTAAACTCACCTTTTTTCCACAGTTTGCAGGGGTGTGACCAATACACTAAAACTGCTCTGTTAAGTTATAGTTGTTTTGGTGACTCTAGTGTCCGTTCAAGTGCAGACCATCCAAATGTCATATTATTAAATTTTGGGGGACGGTCCCTATTTTAGGGTCCTGCCTCACATGCCCTCAGGCAGTACAACGTGAGCATATCATTAGACAACCTCACGCTGTATAGCAGGCACTAGAATTGTGCAGGGAACAATTCCCATCACTCTCTGCCTGTGCCTGTACCAGACTGGCAAGCCCCTTCAGTGGGTGAGGATCCGCACATTACGGCCATTGCCAGTGAAGCAATTTGTGCCATTGGCCATGACCCCTTAAGTTCCACTCACCCATCCCAATTCCATACCTCCCAATATTAGAAGGTATGAAGTGATTTTGGTGCACAGATCAATCAGTCGGCCATTCTGACTAATATAATTTAATAACTGAATCTATTTTACATCTGATGTTAGCATTCAAGATATGATGATGATTGACATTTTGTGTGCCCAGTGCTTCTCTATGAAAAACGCTGGATTCAGTGCTTCACATACAGACAGGGCCGCCGTTAGTGGGTGACAAACATGATGTCATGGGCGTGGCAGTCCTGGTGGGACCAGACATCTATGCCCCCCATCCCAAATATGCACACATATACATGGCAATTATTGCTATATTTATGGGCCCTGCACCACAGTGGAAATTCTGCTGGTCCAGCTGGTGTGGCTGCACCAGGGTTTACAAATTGAGGGGACCCATCGGGTGAGCGTCAGTCACTTCCTCCCAGCTAACAACCAACATTCACACACACATACTCCATACAAAAACATGCTTACATTCAAACACATAAACACTGCTCAGTGCTAAATACAATCCTGCAAAAATGGGCATCTTATAGATACCTAGTCGGCAAAGCATTCTGGGACTTGTACTCTACACACACATACTACATCCACTACACAAACACATCCACTGCACAAACACACTGCATCCTTGTTGGGCAGACTTGGTGGCGGGGACTGTGGGCTGATTCAGGGGAAGCCCGGTGAGCAGACTTGGGGGTGGGCCCCAGAGGCCCAAACCTTGAGCTGTGTCAGGAGCCCCAAAATTGCTGATGGCAGCCCTGAATACAGAAGAACTGGATTGGCAGATCACAACAATTGCAGTGAATTAACTTTAAGTCCTCAGTGAGCAGCATTTGATTTGACAAAAGTCATCAGTTGCAGTGAAGAGTCTGTCTCAGCACTGGGATAAAAGTAAGTGTGTTATTTTAATAGTTTATAAGTGTTTTCTTTCTTGTAATGGGGGCCATAAAAATAGACAGATTAAGGAACACATTGGAATAATATAAAAAATTACATTGTTATAATGTTTCTTAAAGATTAGAAACAGACCACAGTATCAATCACACATTGGTTTTCACTTAATATTTTTGGTTTTGACTCCATCAACAAGTGTATTTGCCCTGAAACCTGTTTCCTCAACCCCAATTTCTCATTTTTCTCCAACACCAAATTGACCTCTCTATCCTCCAAAGCCACATTCAAATCAAGGAATATTCTAAATTATTTTACCTAAATTACTTCACTGAAATTATTCACAATGGCTCACCATGGCTCTTGTGTCTAGTTCCTGACCATAGTTCTAACACATACTTCACAACTTTACTGGTGGCTAGGTAGCCTGACCTCCCATAAAAGACTACCACAGTGAACTCACACCCATGCGGAGATGATATGTACAGCCTGCCAGCTGGTATCCACCAGCACATGCACAACACAAAGGTTAAAGTATAGGTTAAACCATAACTCCCTGTAAATACTGTATTCAAGGGATACTATAGACATCAAAACAACTTCATTCTCTACCATTTACCGCAGCTTAATTCTCTACCATTTACCGCAGCTTAATTCTCTACCATTTAGGAGTTATATAACTTTCCTTATATGTTTCGCCACTAACAATGGAAAAGTCATTTAGTGGTGAAACGTATGTCGGGACATTGTTTGTGTGTTAGTGATCCACTAATTTGGGACAATACTGCAGCCGGATATGATAGTATTTTAAAGACTTTATCACTACACAATACTTTTTCTATTATTTATTTTATTTTAAACTATTACTGACTACTATGGATTAGCTGGAGGGTGGGTTAGCAATATTTTAAGGGGTGCACTTGAAGACACAGACAGGATAGAGTTGGGCTTTTTACTTTTCTACCCTCTATCAGGTTTTGCTCTTTGCCTCATCATTGAAACTCTGTTTATATATCACCCCCTCCTCCCTTTTGGATAATGTTTCTTTTTTACTATAAGGTAGAGATATATTGATACTACCTACAGGTGGATAGTGCATTGTTATTCTGTTATATCCAATTTTGTATCAATTATGTGGCTGAATTAGACAGCTGTAGTGCTGACTAGCATGACATATGTATGGTTTTATATTTTATAATTTATTAAAAGTTAAGTTTTATTATTTATGGCTTGCTTCCCATAGATAGAGGTATCTGCACACTGATCTTATCCTCTTCCATTGCCAGCCTTTAGGCTCCCCATTGAGTTTAATTATTACCATTAGGGGTTACCCCCGTCTTCCTTTAAAGCAACCTGGCATTATTTCCCTTATCGGTTCCTGTTTAGACTCACTTTCTTTATACAGCCTTAGTCACACCTCTCTGCATGTGACTTGCACAAAAAAACATTTTAATCAGACCTTAAAGTGGCACTGCCATCCCCCCCACTCCCTCCTGTGTTGGATCCTCCATAGATCTCAATGGTATGTGCTATGCTCTTCACCATGCCAGTGATGTCGGCTCCTGACATTGAAGAGGACCTGCCGGAAGATGATGGTGGTACATGTGAGTTACAGAGTAGGATAAGTATAACGCACATCTGCCTCTCCCCCCACCACTGGGAGATCCCCCAGTAGTGATGTCACCATCAGGGGACTATGCAAATTGTGCCGCTTTAACATGCATAAGAGTTTTTTTTCTCTTGCTCTGTAAATTGAACGTTAACCACACAGAGGTGGCCCCTGCCTGGCCTAGGAGGCTATTACCAGAGCAGGATATTTTTAAAAAAAATCTAGATTAAGCTGTGCAACACAGGGCTGCATAAACAAAGGGATTTAACTTCTATATTGCAGAGAATTGAGCAGTGAGTCTACAGGGCCTTGATCTATTCACCAAAACTGCTTCATTAAGCTAAAGTTGTTTTGGTTCCTATAGTGTCCCTTTTCTAATCTCTTCCATACGCATATTGTAGGTTGTCTCTTTATCACCAGGGATTCAACCTACCAACCAATTATAAAAAAAGGGGAAAAAAAGTTAAAAGAGATTCATAGCTGGATAGCGGCTCTAGGTATTAAGCATCTCATCTTGGTGATGTCAAAAGGTGTCTATCTCATTTGAAAGGAGAAGCAGGGGGTTATATAACAGAACTCAGGATTTAAAACTTGTATAAAAGGGGGGCGGGGCCTGGCTGCCAAACTGAAAGGCTGCATGCAGTGTGGGCTCTGTACAAAAGTTGACAATTATCGCCTAAAAACAGTATTTTGAAAGCAAACAAATGGCTAAATTTGCGCTGATACCTACCTGCAAGCTACTCTGCTACAGCACAAGGGTTTCCAGGCGTCCGACAAGCAGATTGAGCCCACACCGCCACTGAGGTCTACCTCGAGGTGAGAGCCTGGGAGAAGCGGACGATCTCCCTACTGCCTCTCCGACCGGAACAAGCTGACGTTATACGGGTCCCCGCTCCCCCCCCTGCCGGTGGGGGTTATCCTGACACCATCACCACAGCCAAGTTTCATCCCTGACAAGCACATCGTCTTAAAGCAAAGACATAGAGGGGTGCAATCTGCTTCAAAATGGCGGCTACTGCACCAGCTGCAGACACACTGAACCGACTGCAGACACTCGAGCAGCGCCTGGACAACCTCCTCGAAAACTTCTGGCAGCCTAAACCTAAGCCTGCGGCCCTTAAACCAACCTGCTGGCAGCTTCGCGATCGTGGGAATAGGATGAACGCATAAACACACTCCTGGACAGTACCACAGTGTGCACACCAGGACTTACTCACAGGCAGTTCTAAACACGCAGAAACATGTTGCCTCCTGAACGTTACCAGCAATGCCTTAAATGTATATTCTGCTTTTGTTTTACTAGAAAAGTATGGATTTTTCTCTTTTTTCAGTCCAATGGTCTATTTCTTAACTTGCCTAGCTTGTTTAGCCTGAAATAATTTAATCTAAAAGTATGCTAGCTCTAAGAATCGCTTTTCATGGTAGTAATCCTTTATTATCAACTGATATGTGTTATTTTCACCTCGTTTTTACCTAACTAGTACAGACAATAACTTAAAACATAAGTACCTAACCTGCATTTATTAACAAAAAAATGGTGCCATTCTTGCATGCCACAATACTGTATTCACTGTATTACTGTTTTAGCTTGTACATGCTGTTGTGGCGATACAAGCTTGTTTATGTTACTCACACACTGCAAAAATAAAGATTGACAAAAAAACTTGTATAAAAATACATGACAGTAGAGCACATCTTCATTTGCTTCTGTGCAATATTAAAACACCCAGCGCCCTGTATGAACGTTCTTGTTGTGTGGCAGAGCTTGTCCCTTTCCAGTACAAATTGTGTGAACTCAATCCCTCCTGCAAATATAGTAAGGGATCGGAGTTCCCACACTGTGAGTTACCATAACCTTGTAATAGACCTTTTCAGTAGGTAAGAGAATAAGGCATCTCACATCCATAGTGGATCATTCAGTAGGCTTTCTAAGACAGTCAGATGTCTGCGTTATGACAGAATCATATCAAGTGAAGTGGTTTTGATGTGAAAAATCATTTGTTTAAGTCCACGCTCAGTGGTCATCAACCCATTCCTCATAGACCATTAACTGCTCAGGATTAGTGTATTTCCTTTTTTTATTCAAATTGATATACTGACAAAATCTGGACTCTTGGTGGTCCATAAGGAGTGGGTTGGGGACCACTGTCCATGCTAATTGGCCTACCATCATTTGCTTCTACTTATCCTTTCCCTCTGTGAAATATTATTGGGCCTCAGTTAGAGGCCACGCCTGTCTATATATAAATGAAAGAACATATATTTTTAGGTTCGGCTGGCTGGCTGAAATACATATTTCTGAATCAGTTTCTCAGGTCCGTTCGAAGGGGCTGCCAGTCGTTTTGGGAAATATTGACAAAATGCTTTCTTGGTTTTTTCTTCCTGCTTCATCTCACTGTGTCTGACAGTAAAGTAGACAAAATGGCACAGCTGTGCACAAATGTGATTGTCTTGCACTTTAGATAGTTACCATTTTACCCAGTGGAATAGACAACCATTCCCATCATGGGCGGATAGGTCTCGGAGAATGTTACTCAATATTACTAGGCTACTCCATCTAATAACCATAGTCCTTTATCTCTCATTCCTCCACAGCTACAGATGGAAGGCTGTGGTAATAAATGGCTTTTTGTAGGTCAAAAGGTCTATTGATATGAGTTCACAGCTGTGGCCTTTAACCCTGATGGGCGAGGCGGAACAAGGACTTGTACTGTCCTTGATCTGCAAGTCTGCAATATGGATTTGTTCTGACTGAATTGGAAGGACATTTTTTTTCCTCACTTGTAATATTTCAAAGGGAATAGAACAATTATACATAAGAATTCAGGAACATGTACACAGACAGGTCATGTTTTATGTGCAACAATTAAAATTTAAAAATATATATACGTATTGCAGGGCTTCACTGAAAACAAGGCAGGAGGAGTACAGTGTCTTTCTCAATAAATCCAAAGCTTGTGACTTATTTATTACATGGATATTGATATGAAATAAATATAGAAATTCTCATTTGGGATTTTTCCACATCAAGAAAGCAGTGTTAGGAATTGTGAACCTGTGCGTTTAATGTCTGATACAGTTGATTATCACTAAATCCTCCCTTCTGCATTGAGATGGTCAGACAGACAGTCTTTGAGATCTGATCTTGTTTAAAAGAAATACTCCCACCTTCTGCTAACACATCTGCTAATTACCTCCTTTCTGTTGATTAGAGGCTCACAGGCAGCCCGTGTATCTCATGCCTATATCCCAGGAGTCATATAGGGTGTGTCTAGCTCAGAGATTGTATGACTTTATGGTATACAAACTGCAACATTCTATTTTATGAAAGCACATACAAAGATCACACATATGCTTTTGACATGTATCTTATGGGTGGGATAGCTGATTTACTGCAGAGTTTTGATCTACCAGAAAATTCTGCATTGAGCAAAAGGCCTGCTAGCCTTTAGCACATCTGTAGCATCCACATAGCCTTCTGACTGGTGGCATCCATGAATCATATAGCTCTGCTCTCCAGATATATATATGTATTGGTCACATTAGCAGATTTAGTAAGATTGCAGGCCACAGAATCTAAGTATCACTGCATGTTAGCAAAAATAAATAGCATATTCAAAAGTGACATTTTAAAATCTTATAGTGATTAAACCAGATGACTAACATGACATTCTGCGCAACAGAATGAAAATCAAGGTGTTTCTTGATTCGAACAATGGGAGGGTTTATGTGTACAGACAAGCTCACCTGTATGTGTCCCTTCCATGCACTAATAGGGTTTATTTAAGAAATGATTATTGATTATGGGGCTTGTGGGTGGCTAGGTATCTACATGTCTAATGAAAGGATGCTGGAAAATCAATCAAGAATTCCTGTGAAGCAGGGCCTTTACTAGCAATGGTTAACCCGTTAAACCCCAGCCTTAGTCACTCAAATGGTTAATTCCTAAAACATTGCAATAATGAGAAAAAAAGTATTTGTATAACCCCCCATCTCTTTCTCCTTGACCCACTGTGACAACACTCACCACTTTGTTCTCCAAGAAATACCAGCTTGAATTTCCTCAGTGGGTTTCCAAAATCTCCCCCTGCAGACATGATGCTTGGGGAAGGACCAGGAGACAGGAGAAGGGAGAAGAGCAATACAAAAATGTACCCTTCTCTGCAGGCTGGGTGTCAAGGCACTTAGTCCTGTGTGCAGTGCAGGATGAGGATGGGATGCTAAGGGGTGGCTGGAGGAAGGGAGGGGTGTGCTCTTACAGGGAGGTGTCTGCAATGGGACAGGAACAGGTTAATTCCTTCCTAGGAGAGCTGGAACTACTGTAGGTGAATAAGGATGCTTTAGGCTGCTCTGCTCAACATCTCTGTCCCCTCCCCACCCAAACACAACACGCCTGCGTGTTCTCTCCCTTTTTCACCCCCTCCCTTTCTCCAGCCTGTGCTGATGTCAATATACAAGCTTTTTTTTCAGACTGAATGAACAAGGGATGCAGACAGGCAGAGAAATCTTGCTACTGTAGTGTGTGTGTGTGTGTGTGTGTGTGTGTTATGTCAGATGGACAGTAAGGGGTTAGTTTTCCATTAATGGGTTTGCAAGCCATCTCTACAGGGCAAGCTGTGCAGGAGATTGCTGACTGTCAGCATCCTGGAAGGAAGGAGCCACTACACACACTGCACCTTTCATTACAATGAATCTATTATTTATTGTTTGAATAACTGTGTGATCACCTTTTAATAGGCTCTGAATGTCCATTCTGCGTGTGTTTGGGGGAGGCTTAGCTATCAGGACTACAAAGGTGGTTTTAAAATGCACACTAGATGGATGTAAAGAGGATAACATCCCTTTAAGCACAAACCTAGAAAGGCCATAAACACCCTTAGGACTAGACCTGTGTAAGAGTTTTACATTAAAAGGGGAAAAGGCACTGGAAGGGTCAAATGCTCGAAATAGCCAAATGATTAAGATACTGCAAGAGCTTAATGTTCATCACCTTAATGAGACTGTTTGCACAAGCCATAACACAAGGCTGAGTCAACAGAAATACACCTGACAGCTGAAAAGGAATTAAAAAAACAAAACAGTTGTTGCCATCAGGGGACTGGGGGACTGGATCTTTTTAATTTGGATTCAGCGAGTTGAATCTGCTAGCAAACCCGCATGCTTGATATAGCTCATCTATTTTACACCCAGGAACCCTCCGCGTAGTCCTGTAGGCCTGCTTGGCAGCTTTGTAAGCCTTCATTTAATTAACATGTGATTATTAAATTAAGGCTCTCTAGTCTGAAACCCTATTTTTTCGTGATTTAGTCATTGTACGGTCTTACTTGCTGGGAATGGATGCTGCAGGAAGGGCCAATTAGTGATAGAAATAGAATGTTAAAATAATATTTTTTTAGCAATAGAGGCATATATATTTTAAGAGGAAATTGTACGCCAGGGAATATATTCTGCTACACATCACATATCTAATATGGGTAGGATGAACATAAGGCAGTTTTGTTTAAACATGCACATGTGACATTGTTGAAGCACTGCATGGCGGTACCTCATACAGGCAATCGTGAAAATACTAGAAAAAGTAAAATGCTGAGAATAATAACCACACAGTGATGCGCAAAGTCAGTAATAGGTGGGCAAAGGCCACTGCGTTTATTAAAGGAACACAAGTACCATAACCACTCATATGCACTGTAGTGGCTATGGTACAACGACCACCCTGGCACTTCTACTACTTTCTAAGTAGGAGCTCCCCTTAGCTTAGCTGAGGTAAGCTAGCTCATCACTCTCAGCCAATGAGTTAGGCCCAGAGAGAGATTTCCTGGCTCTCTGTCAGAAGTAGTGGAGGCAGGTAGCGGAGCCTGGTGGACCCCAGGTAAGAATTCAAACCATTGTGAACCAGTTTAACTGTATAATATACGTTATTGTTATTACTGGCATTTATATAGAGCCTGCTTATTCCGCTGTGCTTTGCAATATTATAAAAAGAGTGATATAACAATACATGAGACAATTACAAAATTTTACAGGAACAATAGGTGGATGAGGACCCTGTTCAAACGAGCTTACAGTATAGAGGAGGCAGGGTATAAAAATAATAGGAAGGGCAGCATGGGGGATAGCAGCCAAGTGACAGAGTGGGAAGTAGCAGAACTGGAAGGTGAGTGTGGAGTGTGGTCCTTTAGGAGAGAGTAAGAGATAGGTTTGTTAAATAGAAGTTACTTTGGGAGGCTATAAGCTTTTCTAAAGAGATGGGGTTTGAGAGTCTTCTCAAATGATTGAAGACAAGAGGAGAGTCTGAAGGGGTAGGCACAAGGCTGGCATCACTGCTAGGCGAATTAGACAGTCACCTACCGTGCACCAGCCTGGGGGTCGCAATACCCAGATGACTGGGACAGCACAGTGCTCCCCTCCTGCCAGTCACTGTATGTAGCGTGGCCGAGCTTGCTTCCCTCTACCCGATCTGATAGGAAGTAGTAGTAGGGAGTGCCGAACTGTTTCCTGTTGGTCACGATAGAGGGAAACAAGCTCTTCTAATGAGGTCCATGGCTCTGCCACACTACATGAGGGAGGTTAACTGGCATAGGGTGGTGGGATTAGCCACACTTACGTGAGGGAGGTGAGCTGGAACAGGAGAGGCATGCCGAGGGCTGAGGGTGGGGGAGTGGCACACAGAAAACTTTGAAGAAAAGGGAACACAGAGGGCTGGGGGGATAAGGGCTGGGGGAGAGAGGCACACAGAGGACTGGGGGGGAGGAGGGGCACAGAGGGCTGATGGGTACAAAGAAAAACATAGAGGGGCTGGGGGGAGAAGGAGATACATAGAGGGCTGTGGGAGGGCACAGAGAGGGCTATGGGGCAACAAAGAGACTCACAGATGGGCTGGGGGAGAAAGGGACACACAGAGGGCTAAGGGGGGCTAGAGGCACACAGAGGGCTGGAGGTGCACAGAGGGCTGGGGAGGACAAAGAGACACAGAGAGGGGATGGGGGAGAAGAGAGAAACACAAAGGGGCTTAAGGGAGAAAGAGATGCATGGGGTATGGGGAAGAGGAAAAAGAGACCCACAAAGGGGTTGGGGGACAAAGAGACACACATAGGGGTTGGGAGGGACAAAGATACACAGAGAGGGACTGGGAAGGACAAAGAGACACAGAGAGGGGCTAAGGGGAAATAGAGACACAGAGAGGATGAGGGAACAAGGAGACACACAGTGGGGCTGTGGGGTCAAAGAGACACACAGACGGGATAAGCGGACAAAAGAGACACACAGTGGGGCTGTGGGGACAAAGAGACACACAGAGGGGCTAAGGGGAAAATGAGACACACAGAGGGGCTGGGAGGGGTAAAGAGACACACAGAGGGACTGGGGACACAGGAAATGATTGTAAGGATTGACAGTGGGGCGAGGTGTGAGAGGAGCAACGGGAGAGAAGCATACATACATACTTTAATCTAAATTACTGAATCTTTAGGCAGTCAGATATATGCAACAATTGTTATATTGCAATCTAACCAAGTCAATCCTTTATAATGATACCCGAGGTTGATTTTTTTTTGCCTCACAGCCAAATCAGAGGAAATCAAATTCCACTGAATTCAGCCCCCTCAATGGTCAAAATCCTTTTCACCAAATCATGCAATCCTACATTGAAGATATTGTTCCCAATATTTGAAAGATGTGTATTATCGTTTCTGAATACATAACTATGTCCCCTTCCAACTAAACATGTCTAAAAAGAAGGCAATGTACAATGGGCAGAAAATATTTGTAAGGTTTATTTAGACTGGAATGATTTATATAGGTTTTTAATTTTCTTTTTGTCCTACTAAATTGCTAAACAATGTTTAGACTTTCCCCTGATATATATTTTTTATATATTCTTCCCAGTTTGGTCACTAAATATATTGATATGTTTGTATACATTTACTTGATTAGCTCGTTCTACACCTACTAGTTTACTTTGGACTAGAGTGACATTTAGAAGATTTGCCCTGGGTATAGGTACTTTATTTTAGAATATATGTTTTAACTTTTTAATTTTGCTTCTTACTTTCTGTGGTACAGCAGCAATTTACTTATAGACTTGGTTAGCTCTTTTTTAGCCATTAAGTCTATTTAGACTGGAGTGATGTTTAGAAGATTAGCCCTTTATATATGGATTTCCTTTAGATGTTTTGTTACTGCTATTTGTTTAGCATTACAATACATTTCATATACTGAACTTACCACCTGATAAAAGTTTTTTTGTACTAATACATTTAAGGCGTTTTCATAGAATTTATGGGCATATAAGAACCATTACTGTAAATCCTCCCTCTTAAGTATGATTGTACATTTAAAATATTTAAATAAATGCTTTTTAGAATGGTTTCTCTATAAGTGTCTTTTTAAAATGCCATGTTGAATGCTTTTTAGTGAAGTATGATACATTGTTAATGTCAATGTTTCTGATTACAGTTTTACACTTTGTTTCTTTGAGCCCAATATGTTCAATGTGATTGCTACATCCTTAATGGGATACTATAGACAGCAGAATTACAGTTACAGAGTAGTGTTTTTCATAGAAAAGGCAGTACTTAAATTACTGCATAACAACACCTCTAGTGGCAGTCACTCAGCTAGAGGTGCTTCTTGGGTCAGTGCTGCACAACGTACAGCACTGACGTTCAGTCACCACGCTCTGCATGGAGATGCTGAATGTTCCCCATGGAGATGCATTGATTGAATGCATCTCTATAGGGAGATGCTGATTGGCGCAACACTGCACATGGGAAAGCAGTGAATTGGCTGAGATCATCAAGGAGGCAGAGCGGGGGTGGAGCCAGCCGCAAAGAGACCTGTGTGGCGCTGTAAAAAGGTTAGTAAAATCACCTTTAACTCTTTTCACAAGGGGGGGCATAAACTGTTTGTATTCCTGACACTATACTGTTCCTTTGAAGTGGTTACAGCAATGATCTCATTGCAATTTACAGCTATATGAGCCAAAGGAAGAGGGTCTACTTTTGTTTGAGAAAGCCACGAGAGGTGTGGCGAATTGGGTTGCATCAACATGCCAGACAATAGCGTACAGGTGGACGTCCCTCTGACAGTGAAATCAGCTGTACAGCAAGGTAAAAAAAACTTTTTTTCTACCTTTATCAATTTTGCTCTCAGATCCACATCCTACTAGTCTGTCTGGGTAAAGAACGACTTAAAAACGTCTGATCTAAAGAACTTGTTTTCTGTGGTATTATGGTTATATTCAGGTGGCTGTTGTGTTATGTCTTGTGAAAGGAATCTTGAGATAGTGGAATATAACTGTGGGTTGTAAGTTATTTTTATTGTTTGCCTTCTCATTTGTTTTATAATTTGAGTTAGAATCCTCCAAGGGCAGATCTCCTGATCTGTGTTTAGAAGACAAAACTGTGAAAATTCCACTGCAGCAGTCCTAAGTGT